ATCCATTCTGAATGAATCAAAATTATACCTTTTTTTTTTTGGTCAGATCGGCAAGTAATATATTTTTTGGCGTGCCACAGAATTATAGTAATTAGTTTGTGTGCCATGAGGTGAAAAAGGTTGAAAATTGCTGCTCTAACATATTCTTACCATAAACCCCTCTGAAGTATCTATTAGTGTTTTTACATAATTTTGAGAGAGGTTCTCATTGATTTGGGGGGGCTTATATATTTATTTTCTATTTTATTAATTTGCTGCAAAAGAATTAGTAATGATCACTGAATACAGCCATCTCTCAGACTAAGAGTATGAATATAAACTCTGACAACACAGATTGATAAAATTTACAAGAGTTAGAAGCATAAAGAAGAGAGAAGGTAGAAAGTAGTGAAGTACACAGATTTCCTCAACTTTCATAGTCAGTGTCAGAGAAATAATTTAAAATCAAAGACTATAGCCCGGCTAGTGTGGCTGAATGGTTGAGCTAAGATCCATGCACCAAGAGGTCACTGGTTTGACTCCCAGTCAGAGCACATGCCCAGGTTGTGGGCCTGATTCCCAGTGGTGGGCATGCAGGAGGCAGCCAATCAATGTTCTCTCTCGTTGATGTTTCTATCTCCCTTTCCCTTCTTCTCTCTCTAACATTAATAAAGAAGAAAAAATTAAAAATAAGTAAATAAAATTAAAGACTACATATATAGGTATTTTTAAAGTTATAAAGATAAGCCATAAAAATATCAACTAAGCCCTGGCCAGTTTGGCTCAGTGGTTAGAGCGTCGGCCTGCGGTCCTGAGAGACTCGGGTTCGGTTCCCGCTAAGGGCACGTACCTCGGTTGCAGTTTGTCCCCGGCCCTGGTTGGTCATGCGGGTGGCAGCCACTCGATGTGTCCCTTCACGTCAATGTTTCTCTCTCTCTCCTTCCTCTCTCTCCCTCCCACTCTATCTGTACAAAAAAATGGAAAAATATCCTCGGGTGAGGATAAAAAAAAAAAAAAAAAAATATCAACTAAAATTGGGTGATGGGGAAAAGGGAACAAATATATCTATCATTATTTATCAGCAGGAGTTAATAAATTCTGTGTAGAATATAATAAATATAGGATTGGGTATTAAATAAAATTATAGGGATAATCAATAGAATTGTTGCTATTTTTAGCATTTAAATTTCCAAAGTGCTGTTTAAATGCTTCATATATAGTAACTCATTTAATTCTCATAATAATCCTAATAGGCAAGTACTGTCATTATCCCCATTTTACAGATGAGTTACAGAAAGAATAAGTCACTTGCTCAAAGTCATATAGTAAAGTATTCAACCCAAGCAGTTTGCCCCTAGAATGTATGTTCTTAGCCATTATGATATATCACACCTTCAATATATGTCTTTCAAATTACATGCACTCAAATGTAAAAAAATTAAATAAAAACTAAAGAATCAAAATTTTGCCCTGGCCATTTTGGCTCATCAGTTAAGTGTCTGCCTGTGGACTGAAGTGTGTCTGGTTCCATTCCTGGTAAAGGGCACGTACCTGGTTTTCAGGTTCAATCCCCAGCTCAGGTTGGAGTTGTGTGGGAGGCAAATAATAAATGTTTCTCGCTCACATCGATGTTTCTCTCTGTCTCTTCCTCCCTCCCTTCCATTCTATCTAAAAATTAATGGAAAATATCCTTGGGTGAGGATTAACAAACAAACAAAAATATTTTAAGCCCTGCCCGGTTCGTCTCAGTGGTAGAGCGTCAGCCCACGGACCAAAGAGTCCCGGGTTCGATTCCGGCCAAGGGCACACTGCGGTTCGTCCCTGGCCCCTGGTGGGGTCGTGTGTGTGGCAACCAATCAATGTATCTCTCTCACACAGATGTTTCTCTCTCTCTCTCCCTCCCACTCTGTCTGAAGATAAATGTAAAAATATCCCCGGGTGAGGATTAAGAAAAAAAAGTCAACAAGAAAAAGGTCAGGAAGAACATAATCCAAACTGTTACCACTAAATGTCTCTGAAAAAGTAGAATTATATTTTACTATACAGGGTGGGACAAAAGTAAGTTTACAGTTGTGAGTATGCAGAACATATAATTTATTCTTGCATTATTATTTCTTTTTTTGTTTGTTTTGTTTTTTTATCCTCGAGGACATTTTCGCTTTTTGCATTTATTTTCAGATAGAGTGGGAGGGAGAGGGGGGAAGAGAGAGAGAGAAACATTGACGTGAGAGAGACACATTGACTGGTTGCCATCCACAGGACCGTAGCCGGGGCCGGGGACAAACTGCAAGCGAGGTACGTGCCCTTAGCGGGAACCGAACCCAGGACTCTCGTCCACAGGCCAACGCTCTCACTGCTGAGCCAAGCCGGCCAGGGCGCATTATTATTTCTTAATTATTGTATTATTTTCCATACAAACTATTGTAAACCTACTTTTGTCCCACCCAGTATATAATTCTGTATTGCTTGAATTTGAAAATATTCTAGTGACAAAATAGAGAGTATATGAGCATTTGCTTTTGTCTTTCCTCTTATAAAGTATCTGTGCTTGCCCTGGCCGGTTTGGCTCAGCAGTTAGAGCATCAGCCCACGGACCAATGAGTCGTGGGTTTGATTCTGGTCAAGGTCATGTACCTCGGTTGTGGTTCGTCCCTGGCCCTGGTCAGGGTCATGAGGGAGGCAGCTGTCAATGTGTCCCTCTCCTGTCGATGTTTCTCTCTCTCTCTCTCTCTCTCCTTCCCTCCCTCCCACTTTATCTGAAGATAAATAGAAAAATATCCTCAGGTGAGGATTTAAAAAAATAACAATAAAGTCCCTGTGCTATATCCACTGACTATATAGTTTTTAACAAATATCATTGGAACATTGTACATGAGTAGACTTCAGGAGGTATGTGAATTTAATGAGATTTTCCGTTTAAATACTTGGCTGCTCTTGTCAGGTAGGTCTTTGTTTAAATGTTACCTCTTTGGTTAAGTGGGGCATCTTTTTACTGTTATAGGGGCCTTCTGATCTTTATTATATTGTCTTGATACATTATCCTTATAGCGTTGTCACCATCTATTCTTACTCTTGTTTTTTTAAAAATAATTTGTTTTCCTCTACTAAAGTCCACGAGAGCAGGAATGTCCTTGTTCATTTTGTAGCAAGAGGCCTAAAATGATGCTGGGCATATAGTAGCACTGAATAAATACTTGTTGCATGAATGAAAAAGTTAATACTCATTCCTAAAAGTTCAGAAATTTACGTTTTTATTAGGCCATCTAAGAATGCTTTAGCTATGATGAGCTAATTAATGATAATTCATAGGAGTCTATTAAGCAGAATACCAGTTTACTTATAGCGGTAGATATAAATAGTATAATGAGCTGGATATGCGTATGGTTTTTTTCACTAATACTGTTGTACCAAAACCAGTTTTTTATAAAGAGTAAAAATGTAATAACATATGAAAATAGGGAAAAGGTGTGGTGGGGGGTATTAAAAAAAAACACTAAATATCACACTCTGGCTATAGAGTACATATCCTAACAAGTACATTATCTAGTAAATGTTTGGGCCTGATCCTGAGCATCATGAGAGGTAGTGTGAATGATTTGGTTTCGTTGGTCCAGTCATAAGAACCATAAAGTGCCAGTCCAATTGATGGTGGGTTAGATTGCACACCTATGAAAACAAAGAATAAAGTTAAACTTGTAGTTTGTTACAAATCAAAGAGCAAATATATAGGACATAAGTGGTGGTTCCCCACAAAAAAAGATTCAAAGTAACAGGTAAGTATTATTAAAGCTTATTGATGGCCCTGGCCGGTTTGCTCAGTGGTTAGAGCGTCGGCCGTGGACCAAAGAGTCCCGGGTTTGGTTCCCACTAAGGGCACGTACGTTGGCTCCAGCCCCGGCTGGGGTTGTGTGGGTAGCATCCACTAGATCTGTCTCTCTCACATCAGTGTTTCTCTCTCTCTCTTCCCCCCTCTCTCCCTCCCGCTCTATCTGAAGATAAATGCAAAAATGTCCTCGGGTGAGGATTAAAAAAAAAAAAGCTTATTGATGGAAATGCAAGTGTTCATTTCCCACTTTTATTAGAATAATCCCTGAACCTGAATTAAGTTTTTACCCCAAAATCAAAACTATACCATCCAATTTGAAAAGACAGGTAAATATTTAAAAACAAACTTTGGAAATGTTTGGGAGAGGTAGATAAGCGGCACACACGCAGTAGCAATGACTAGTCGTTACTTTCTATGCATTGGAGTGTAGTAGGCGGTGTTTGTAATAGATCCTGAGCTGTATGCCTGGGATTCAGTCTTAGTTCTGCCTTCCACCTGCGGTGTGACCTGCGGTGAACCCCTACCCTCTCTCTGCCTCGGTCTCCTCATCTTGGGGTAATCCATCCTTCTTACAAAGTTGTTGGGAGGGTTAAATGAGAATGTGTGCACATGTGTGTAGTTTTCTGAATGGCTCCTGGCAAATAATACAGCACTGTATAAGTACTAGCCACTATTATTTTTATGTGTTGTTTTCTTTTAGCCACTACTATTGTTATCCACTACTGATTTTTTCTGTGCATCACTGTGCTAGGATAGGAAGGTCCTACCCTAGAGGAATTCATAGTTTAGTGAAGCTCAGGGTTCTGTTTCATCTTCTCTACTTTCCTCCCAGTTCTTTTTTTCTGTATCTTTATTTTTCTCCCCAGTTTCATTAAGATATGATTGATATATAACACTGTCTTAGTTTAAAGTTTATAAACACATATGTATATATTGTGAAATGATAAGTTTAGTTAACTAAACTTGTAACTTTTTATTGTGATGAGTGCTTTTAGGATCTACAAGATTAATAACTGCCAGGGATGTAATATACAGCATGATAACTTTAGCTAACAGTACTGTATTATGTATTCGAAAGTTGCTAGGAGAGGTGATCAATCATTAATTTTTACCTGATGTTTAAAGAGGTGGTCAGAAAACTGACCTGCTGCCTAAAATAAAATATTTTAAAGTCATATAAAATTTTGTTTCATAGATGTTTGTTTACTGCTGATGGGTGTGAGCAAGTTAGATGTTCTATACCGGAGACTTCTCCTTACAAAACTTTTTATCAGAGGATGGGGAAGGCCAGAGGATCTTAAAAGGTAAGCACTTTTTCTGAATGCTTGTTCTGACTTTGTTTTAGTAACATTTAATATTTTATTTTACTTTTAAAGTCCTTTACTATAAAGTGTTTGGGAAATTAAGCATTAAACAATATAAAAAATGGAATTATTTTTTTCTCAATTTTTCTTATTTTACCCTATATAATCATAAATTGAACTATTTTAAAGGTAATTTAGTTGTAAAAATAAAGAGCTCTCAGAAATACAAACTAGATTTTAACTTGAATAATTTTTGAATTAATTATCCAGGGACTGAGTATTCTTGGGTAAACTGAATTTGTAATGACTACAAAGCTGGGATATACTGTAGCTCATAGGAATATCTGGGCTTAAGAAAATAAATTTTTGCCCTGCCTGGTTTGGCTCAGCAGTTAGAGCGTCGGCTCAAGAACCAAGGGGTTCTTGGTTCAATTCCCAGTCAAGGGCATGTACCTGGGTTTCGGGTTTGGTCCGCGGCCCCAGTTGAGGTTGTGTGGGAGGCGGCCAATCAAAGTGTCTCTCACATTGGTTTCCCTCTATACATGTCTCTCTCTCCGCCCCTCCCTCCCTTCCGTTCTATCTAGAAATCAGTGGAAAAAATATCCTTGGGTGAGGAGTAACCAAAGAAAATAAATTTTTAAGATTTGTGCATTTAATTTTGAGTCTCATATATGTTAATTACTTTCTGAACAATGATATTTCTCACATTTTTTTCCTGAAATAACATATTCAGTTTGTAAAAGACCAACAACCTCATCTTTTTCTCTGATGATTAAAATTACATCTTAACATGTTTTATGAACTGGACTTTCTAATTTTTACTCACTATTCATCAACCTCAACATATGGCTATACTAAATTTTTTCCTTTTTTTCTCCCTTACCATAACAGACTCTTTGAATTCAGAAAGATAATTGGAAATCGAGAAAGATGTCAGAATCTGGTTTCGAGTGATTACCCAGTATACATCGATAAGGTATTCAAATGAAATAAATGCAGTTATAGAAATTCCAGTTTAACATAAATATGTGACAAGAATATGTTGAATGTTAAGAACATAATAGCAGCCCTGACCGGTTTGGCTCAGCGGTAGAGCGTCGGCCCTGCACCAATGAGTTGTGAGTTCGATTCTGGTCAAGGGTGCGTGCTTCGGTTGCAGTTCATCCCTGGCCCTGGTCCGGGTCGTGTGGGAGGCGACCAGTCAATGTGTCCCTCTCGCGTTGATGTTTCTTTCTCTCTCCCTTTCTCTCCCTCTTTCTCCCTCCCACTTCCTCCCACTCTATCTGAAGATGAATAGAAAAATATCCTTGAGTGAGGATTAAAAATAAAGGAATATAATGGCAGTAAACACTAGAACATGAGTACAATTTCTTCCTTCCTTCCTTCCTCCCTCCTTTCCCCCCTCCCCCGAGAACATTTTTGCACTTATCTTCAGATAGAGCGGGAGGGAGAGAGAGAGAAAAAAAAACATTGATATGAGAGACACATCAACTGGTTGCCACCCACACGACCGAGGTACGTGCCCTTAGCGGGAACCGAATCAGGGACTCTCTGGTCCGCGGGCCGATGCTCCAACCGCTGAGCCGAACCAGCCAGGGCACTTAATTGTTTTTTATGGCTGAATCATATAGATGCATGACATTTATTTATTTATCAGTTGATGTATATTTGAGTTATTTCTGCTTTTTTACTATTATGAATATAATGCTATGAACATTCATGTACAAATGTTTTTGTGGATATATGTTTTTAATTCTTTGGATATATATTGAGGAGTGGAATTGTTGGCTGATATGGTAACTCTATCTTTAACTTTTAAACAAACTGCAACTGTTCTTCCAAAGTGCACCATTTTATATGCCTACTGGCAATGTGTAATAGTTCCAGTTTCTCCACATTCTCATTAATATTTGTACTTCTAGCCATCATAGTGTGTATAAAGTATATTATATTGTGATTTTGATATGCCTTTTCCTAATGACTATGATGTTGAGTATTTTTATGTGCTTATTGGCCATTTGAGTATCTTCTTTGGAGAAATATTTATGAAATACTTGCCTGGTTTTGTTTGTTTGTTTTTGCATGTCACTAACCTGATGACTGACTATGTCATGGGGCCCTTGCCCAGAATCAAACCCGCGACTCTTTGGTCCACGGGCCAACTCTCTAACTGCTAAGTCAAACTAGCCAGGGCAAGGGTTATTTGTCTTTTTATTGTTGAGTTGTAACTTGCTTAATTTTTAAATCTGTATTATGATTGGCTCTAAAATTGCTTTTTTTCTTACCAAATTCCCAATTATCTCAACACTGTTTGTTGAATTATTATTCCTGTCACATTAGTTTGTAATACCTCTTTTATTAAATAGTTTGTTTTCCTAAAATACGTAAGAAGAACACTTTAAAACTATACTTGCTGCCCTGGCCAGTGTGGCTCAGTTGGTTGGAGTGTTGTCCTGTACACCAGAGGTGGTGGGTTCCATCCTCAGTCGGTGTACGTACGGGAGGCAACCAACCAATCAGTGTTTCTCTCTCACATCTCTGCCTCCCCCGCATCGCTTTTTCTCTTTCCCCCTTCCTCTCTCTGAAAAATCAATAATAAAAAATGTTTTTAAAAAGAAAAATATCTATAGTTGCATACAAAAAGATGACTAAAATGTAAAGACTTCTTGGATTAAAAATTTCATATTATACACAGGTTAAATTTTCTTACCATTTTCAAAAAAAATGCAACACAATTCCAATTGAAACATTCAATTTAGAACTTAGCTCTATACGCCAGGCTGGTGTCGCTCAGTGGATTGAGGATAGTCCCAAGGACTGAGAGGTCCCCATTCGATTCCTGGTCAGGGCACATGTCTGGGTTTTCGGGCTCGATCTCCAGTAGGGAGTGTACAGGAGGCAGCCAATTGATGTTTCTATCTCTCTCTAAAAAATACAATAAAAAAATTCCTGGCTAGTGTGGCTCAGTGGATTGAGTGTAGTCCCATGGACTATGAGGTCCCAGTTTGATTCCCCATCAGGGAACATGCCCGGGTGCGGGCTCGATCCCCAGTAGGGGGCGTGTAGGAGGCAGCTGATTGATATTTCTCTCTGACATTGATGTTTCTGTCTCTCTCTCCCTTCCTCTCTCTCTAAAAAATCAATATAAACACTAAAAAAAAAAAACAACTTAGGTCTGTAAAAAGCATCCCAAAATAATTTTTGGAAGAACCATGAGAGTTCAATCAGATCAGGAATACCTGAGAAGGAAGAGTGGTAAGTGAAAACTGATTCAGACATGTATCAATGGGTATTATAAAGCTGCAGCGATCAAAACAGTGTGCCGTTGGTTCAGAAATAAAAGATAGGCTCATAAGACCTAATAAAAAGTTGAAAATAATATGTCAAAATTTATGACAATTTACTTTTCTGTAAAGTAGCATTTTACATCACTTGCAAAAAAATGTGTATTAACAAATGGAGTTGACACAACTGGCTAGAATTTGTGTTTTAAATAAAGCTGGACGTATTTAGCATCAACAGACACAGTTTTCTGTTTGTTTCTGATTTTAGTGAAAATATATGGTGCTTTACTGCTAATTTAATTTTGACTATTGGCTTGATTTTTTAAAATTTAGTTTTAAAAAATCTATTTGAGGGAGAAAAGGTTTAGATATTAAATATTAGCATATGCCTTTGATATATAGGTAAATGTCACATTTCTCCTTATTTAATGTGTTGACATGACTTATTAGATCAATAGTTTGCTGGAAAATGAGCCATTCTGAATATTTATATCAATCCTTATTTGACTGTAGTAAATTAGTTTTACAATTTATAAATTGTCCTTATGTTTACTTAAATTTTTTTTTCCTTTATTGAATTTAGAGAGAAGAAGGGAGAGGAGAGGTAGAGAGAGAGAGAGAAACATCAATAAGAGAGAACATCAATTGGCTGCCTCCTGCATGCCCCTCATTGGGGATCGGTCCCACAACTGAGCATGTGCCCTGACCAGGAATCGAACCAGCGACCTCCTGGTACATGGGTCAGTGCTCAACCACTGAGCCACACCAGCAGGACTGTGTTTACTTTTATATTGTTGAATTCTTCCAACTAGTATTTTATTTGGAGTTATTGCATGTCATTGTATAAATAAGGTGTATTTATAATTTACTTTTCTAACTAGACTGTAGTAAAGGATATAGAAGGAAAAGGAATGGGTGTGAATCAAGCCATGCATGTCCTTAGAAAGCCGTGTATGGCAAAAAGGATATATAGTAGGCACTGGAAAAAAGTTTCTAGTTGAATGGAAAATTTTTACAGAAAACCATCTATCTGTAATAGTCCAAGATATCTTAGTTTACATGCATACATCTTAGTTTTGTTTTTCTTTTAGATTGAAGAGCAGTCAGACTGTAAGATCCTAGATGGACACTTTGTTTCCCCTATGGCCCACTATGTGCCTGATATTATGCCAATTGAATCTGTTATCGCAAGGTAAGAATTTTTATTCAGAAAGTTAAAGTACTGAATTGTTTATGTTTGTTTCAAGTATAATGATATCAATGCCATTTTATTTGAAATTACTTAGCATTAATTACATTAATTCCCATTAATCATGGATTAGGGGGAGAGTAAAATTAGAGAACTTTTTTATGCATTGGAACTTAAATTGTTATCTCCTGAAAATATACTCTTATAAATATAAGATGTTTTGTGTAAGTGTCATGGTAACCACAAAACTAAAATCTATAATATATGAGCTTTGGCCAGTTTGGCTCATTGGTTGCGGATTTGATTCTAGTCAAGGGCACGTACCTGGGTTGCAGGTTCAATCCCTGGCCCTGGTCGGGGTTTTGTGGGAAGCAACTGATGTATCTCTTTCATGTCGATGCTTCTCTCTCTCTCATCCTCCCTCCCTCCCACTCTCTGAAAATCAAAGGAAAAATATCCTCGGGTGAGGATTAACAAAAATAAGTAAATAAAATATATATGAACAAAGAGATAAAGAAATAAAATTATATCACTAAAGAAAATCATCAAATCATTAAGGAAGAGAAAAAAGAAAAGAAACTAAACACTTATAAAACAGCCTGAAAACAATGAACAAAATAGCTATAGTAAGTCTACACCTATTTGTAATCACTTTGAATGTAAATGGACTAAATTCTCCAATCAAAAGACATGGAATGGTTGGATGGATAAAAAACAAAACCCAGTTATATGCTGCCTATGAGAGACTTACTTCAGATGTAAGAATATAAACAAAGTGAAAGTGAAGGGATGGAAAAAGAAATTCCATGCATTGGAAACAAAGAAAGCAGCAACAGCTACACTTATATCATACAAAATAGACTTTAAGATAAAGATTGAAATAAGAGACAAAGGAGGTCATTATATAATGATAATGGGGCCAGTTCAATAAGAGGATATAACATTTATAAATATATATGCACCCAACATAGGAGTGAAATATATAAAGCAAATATTAACAGACCTGAAGGAAGACATAGACAGCAATACAATAATAGTAGGGAATTGCAGTACTCCACTTTCAAGGATGGATAAATCATCCATACAGAAAAATCAATAAGGAAATGCTGGACTCAAACTACGTTTTAGATCAGATGTACTTAATAGACTAGAGAGAATATTGTATCCAACAGCAACAGAATACACAAGGATAATTCTCCAGGATACGTCATATATTAGGCCACAAAACTAACCCCAAAACTAGTAGAAGGAAACAGCATAGATCACAGCAGAAGTGAATAAATAGACTATAAATGTAATAGAAAAGATCAGTGAAACTAAGAGCTGGTTTTTAGAAAAGATAAACAAAGGAGACAAACTTTTAGCTAGATTCACCTAGAAAAAAAGAGAAATAGCGTATGATCTCACTTATATGTGGAATATAAACATACAACCCCCTCCCCCAAACTCATAGATGGAACAGACTGATATTTGCCAGAAGTGGGGAACGGTCAGAGGGCGGGGAAGACAAAATGAGTGAAGGTGGTCAAAATGTACAAACTTTAAGGTATAAAATAAGTAATGGGGATGTAATTTTTTTTAATCCTCACCCAAGGATATTTTTTCATTTATCTTCAGATAGAGTGGGGTTGGGGGAACATTAACATGAGAGAGACACATCGCCTGGTTTCCTCCCACACAATCCCAGCCAAGCTGTAGCCCAGATACATGCCCTTGACTGGAATCGAACCTGGGCTCTTGGGTCCATAGGCCAATGCTCTAACCGCTGAGCCAAACTGGCCAGGGCAAATATATGATTTATTTATTTTAATCCTCAAGGATATTTTTCCATTGATTTTCAGATAGGGAGTGAGGGAAGGTGGAGGGGAGAGAGAGAGAGAGAAACATCGATTGGTTGCCTCCTGCACAACCCCAATCAGAGCCGGGGATCGAACTGCAACCGAGGTATGTGCCCTTGACCAGAATCGAACCCAAGAGTCTTTGGTCCACGAGCCGACACTCTAACTGCTGAGCCAAAACAACCAGGGCCTCAATTACAATTTCAGTGTCAAAATTCTGAAGATCTTTTCTTCCAAATAATTTAATTATGAAACTTTTAAGAATTGGAAGTTTTTATTAAAAGCCTTTAAAAGATCATTGACTGATGTGTTTTATTTTAAATAGGTTCCAATTTATTGTGCCTAAAGAATGGAACAGCAAATACAGACCCGTATGCATTCATCTTGCTGGAACAGGAGATCACGTAAGACTTTACTGTAACATCTAATCCCTGATTTGTCAGCATACTCTCAACAGCCGTGGTTACTGTAGTCTTTAAGTGTGTCATCTCTTCTCTCTCTAGCATTACTGGAGGCGGCGAACACTGATGGCTCGGCCTATGATCAAGGAAGCCCGCATGGCTTCTTTGTTGTTAGAAAACCCTTATTATATCCTTTTGTGATACCTAGAAATCTTTTCTCTTATTTATTTATAGCTTTAGTCATCAAAAGGAATGATAGATAGTAGCCAAGTTTTCTAAATCAGTTAAGTTTAGTCATCAGTTAAAAAAATACTTAAGAAGTAAAAAATTATTTCATGCCTTTTAGAAACCAAAGTAAGGATGTGCTTCTATTGTATAATAAAGATAAATTGTTCTTCTTTTTCCCGTGAGACTTCTTTTATGCTGCTTTTTAATGTTGATAAGTCAAATGTTTGCTGTTAGGGAACCCTCATGTTTAAAATGCCTTACATTTAAGTGTCAGTTGAGGTTTAGAACAGTTCTTAACTTAATCTTCAAGATGACTGTCAGACTGTGCCCAGAAGAAGAAACGAAACTGATGCACAGATATAAAGAAATGCTCGACGTTGCTGGTAATAAGAGAAATGTCAAGTTAAAGCTACAATTAACAAAGATTTTAAAAAATCACACACAGTACTCATGAGGCTATTGTGAAATGGGCTCTCTCATTACTCATAACTGAACATCAGTTCAACCCCTTGGGGAGGCATTTTTATAATTTAAAGGCATCAAGAACCTTAAAAAACTTCACATCTCTTTACAGTGATTTTCATTCTTGGAAATTTAGTTTGAGGATAAAATATTAAGAAAAGAGACAATGATAGAAAAAAGATATCTATATAGCTTTTTATTTCTATATAGTAGAACACAAGAAATAGCTTTAATGTCCAATAGTAGCAACATGGTTGAGAAAACTGTGGTTCATAATATTAGGATATTATGCAATTGGTTGTGTAATGTTTATTGCTCTACCATTTACTACCTGTAGGACCTTGGACCTGTTACTTAACCTTTTAGTACATTAATACTAAAAGGTAATGGGGAATAATCTCTTAGGTTATTCAGAGTATTAAATAGTTAATACTGTCTAGAACATTGCCTGGTAAATAATGTGTTCAGTAAATTTCAACAGTTATTATTAAAAAGTTCACAGCAATGTATTGTAAGTTTTTATGTAGAAATAGGATATAAAACTGATATGATATAGGTAGAGAAAAAAAACCTAAAAACAGAGAACCCACTTAAAAAATTGCAAAAGAAAAAATACTTAGAGAAATATACCAAAATATTAATATAGTTGTCTGTAGGTAAAGTAATTTTTCTCTAATAAGCTTTACTGTATTTTCTAAATTATGTTTATTAATTTTAGAGAGAGGAAAGGGGAGACACACACATACACACGCACACGTCGATTTGTTGTTCCACTTATTTATGCATCCATTGGTTGCTTCTTGTATGTACCCTTACTGGAGATACAACCCTCAACCTTTGTGTACTGGGACAGTGCTCCAACCAAGTAAGCTGCCCAGCCAGGTTTTTAGGTTTTCTATAATAAATATATAAATGAAAAAGACAAAACAAAACAATAAACTTAAGTTGAGATTGCACAACCCAATGAATATACTAAAAACACTGACTTGTACACTTCAAATGAATAAATTGTTTTGCCCTGGCTGGTGTGGCTCAGTGGAGCGTCTTCCATGCACCTGAAGGTCACAGGTTCGATTCCAATCAGGGCACATACCTAGGTTTCAGGTTTAATCCCTGGGGCAGGTATGGAGGCAACTGGTCACTGTATTTCTCTCACATAGATGTTTCTCCTTCTCCCTTCTTCCTTCTCTAAAATCAATAAAAGTTCTTTTAAAAAATTATTTAAAAAATAAAACGAAGCTCTTTTAAAAAAAGAAAATTATTAATTTGAAAAACCTGAGAACCTCTAAACAGTATATTTGAGATAACTTGAAAATAGTTATTTCACTATTAAATTATCTTCAACTTTAACTATTTTAAGTTAATGCGTTTTGATACAGAGTATATTTAATTATTTTAAAACTTTCTCTTTGACCCACATTCTTAAATGGCTGCAGGAAACCCAAGGACCAAATGTAAGTATATGTCATCTTCATTTTTTCAATCTTTATATTGAATTTTAAGCAATATTAAAGTTTTTGGTAGTCTTCAGTTAACCATTTCTAAGTTTAATTTCCAAATGTTATTGGGAAATCCAGTTGTAAAACTATAGTAAGAATGTCAACCTAAATTTTTACTTTAAGTGTTTTGCATTTTAAATGTCTGATAAAGAGATGAATATTTTAATAGGCTGACTGAAGATATATTTTATTTGTAAAATTTTAACTGAAGAAATGATAAAACATTTTTCTTTTTTTTTAATCCTCACCCGAGGACATTTTTCCTTTTTTTTTTTTTGTACAGATAGAGTGGGAGGGAGAGAGAGGAAGAGAGAGAGAGGGAAACATCGATGTGAAGGGACACATCGAGTGGCTGCCACCCGCACGACCAACCAGGGCCAGGGACAAACTGCAACCGAGGTACATGCCCTTAGCGGGAACCGAACCCGGGTCTCTCCGGACCGCAGGCGGACGCTCTAACCGCTGAGCCAAACCAGCCAGGGTAAAAACATTTTTCTTTTTAAAAGGAAAAGTATATTTACTTTGTTAAATTAAACACTATTCCTTTTATTCTTGCAATGTGTAATATAAGTGATCTGAAGATAAATGTTCTCTTCCTAGTCCTAGTCTTTTAAAATGATGAATTTTGAAGGCAATTTTTAAAAAATATTTTCATAGCCCTGGCTGGTTTGGCTCAGCAGTTAGAGCGTCAGCCTGCAGTCCAGAGAGATCCGGGTTCGGTTCCCACTAAGGGCGCGAACCGTGGTTGCAGTTTGTCCCCGGCCCTGGTTGGGTCATGCGGGAGGCAGCCACTCGATGTGTCCCTTTCACGTCGATGTTTCTCTCTCTCTCTTCCTCTCTCTCCCTCCTACTCTATCTGAACAAAAAAAATAGAAAAATGTCCTCGGGTGAGGATAAAAAAGAAAAAAAAAATTTTCATAATCTGTATAGTGTGTTTAGTTTTGATGCATTCATGAAATATTTGACTCTAGACACTGGGAAGACAGCAACAAAAAGACAAGGCCCTTACTTTCATAGAGCTTATATTCTAGTATGGGAGACAGATAAAAATAAGTAAGATGATTTCAGACACGTCAGTATCAGGAAGAAAGTAAAGCAGGGCAAAGGGATGAGGAGTAATAGAGCGTGGGTGCAGGGTTGGAGCAGTACTGGGTGTGAGGACGTGATGTAAGGAGAAGAAGCCACCAGGGTGAAGACTGGAGGAAGGTCAGTCTCAGAAGAGGAAGAGCAGATGAAAGCCAGGGTCAGCGCCACGTGGGAGAGGGGTGCCAGGTGCCATCAGAAAGGTGGGCAAGGACCAGGTTAGGAAGAGCCATGATTGGAATTAGTGTAAGTGCAGTGGGAAACTTCTGGAGTATTTTAAGCACCAGAATGATGTTGTTTATGTTTTTGAAGGCTTATTTTAGCCTACTCCGGCAAGAGCTGCAGCGGAGAAATCGAAGTTTTGTTACAACGTGCTGTGAAAAGAAGGGAAAGCAGCTCTAAGGTGGTGGGCGTGGAAATGCAAACAGTTCTGGTGGATCTGAGATACAATTTAGAAGTTGAAACAGCAAGACTTGTTGATAAACTGGAGATTGTGGGTAGGAAATCAGAAGTTCTTGGACATAGCTGTGATGTCTGTTGGACCTGCAAGTAGAGAAGTCAGTCAGGGAGTTGGAAGGTGTTGGAAAGGTTTGGACATCACACGTCTGTGCGGGCCTGGCACTAAAAGAGGTCATGAAAGTGGGTGTGGTGGAAGCAAACCTGTATCCTGTGATTAGATCGTTAGATTCAGAATAAACCTTGTGAAACCTTGTGAAAAACTAAGTCCAGGCCAACTAGTTCAAGGATTCTTACTCTGGAACTAGAACTAGGTGTGTCATTTTCACCCTGTCTGTAGGTGTTTAATAACCAAAAATAGTTTGAATTGAACTGAGGCAGAAACACTGGTTAGTAAAACACTCTTAACTTTGGCTTCATACATATATAGTTTGGAATTGTAACTTGCCATTTACTAATTGTATAACCTTGGCCTAAGTATCAGTCGCTTCATTTATAAAGTGGGAAAATGATATAACTTCTCCAGTGCAGAATTGTTGTGAGAATTATAATGTTTATAAAATATATTGTCATGTATTATGTTCCCAGGTAATATAATAATGCTTCAATGTATTTGATTTTTCTCAAGTAATTCATCATAAGAAAGAAATGGCTTGCAATTTAAATAATAAGCCGGTGTGGCTCAGTGGTTGAGCATCGACCCATGCACCAAGAGATCGCTGGTTCGATTCCTGGTCAGGGCACATACCTGGATTGTGGGCCTGATCCTCACTCAGGGGCGTGCAGGAGGTGGCAATTTATGTTCTCTCATCGATGTTTCTATTTCTCTCTCTTTTCCTTTCTTTCTAAAATCAATAAAGAAAAAAATTGTTTTTAGCCCTGGCCGGTTAGGCTCAGCGGTTGGAATGTTGGCCTGTGGACCAGAGAGTCCCAGGTTTGGTTCCCGCTAGGGGCATGTACAAAAAAAAAATTGTTTTTAATTTAAATAATAATAAACGATTCTCTCTCTTTTAAAATATCTTAACCCTATTTTCATCAAAAGTAGTTAAATAATTTGAGACTGGGTTTATAGTTATAGATAACCATTGTCCCAGAATCTCCCACCAGTCACTTCTGTGTAAAAGAACGAACTGAGGTGGACCTGAGAGTCCATGCCAGGCAAAGATAATCAACCAGCGGAATTCTATAATCACAAATAGAAAGTTAGAATGAGGACAGGAAACAAATATAAGGATAAATCGTTCATTTTATGATGAAGCATGAGTATGATCTCTTTTGACGGGGATATAGCATAGTTTCCGTCAAGAGAATTCCTGCCTATGGACTTGGAGCACTAAGAAGATGTAGTGAATAACAGCACTGATAACATTTTGTGCACTTTGACAAGGTTTCATCTAGTAGCCAATTATGTGCATATGTCTTTATATGAATTAAGTTTTGAAAAATAGCTTCTAACCTGGTCACTTAAGTAATAATACTGTTTTTTTGATTCTCACCCGAGAATATTTTTCTATTTATCTTCAGGTAGAGTGGGAGGGAGGGAGGGAGAAACATCGATGTGAGAGGGACACATAAACTGGCTGCTTCCCACACAACCCTGACCAGGGCTGGGGACCAGCTGCCACAGCGGAGGCACATACATGCCCTTGACCAGAATCAGACCCGCGACTTACTGGTCGGAGGGCCGACACCAAACCGACAAGGGCAATAATAATATTTCTTTTCATCACTATGTAAGAGTGGGTCAGAAATCTAAAAAGATGTATTTAAGTACTTCTTATAAGGAGATGTACTTTTATGTAAAATCAGTTTCTAAAAACAAAAATTCCAGTTGGACTTTAATTAATCAAAACATGTATTTTTAATAAAAAATAAATAAATATTTATATTTCCAGTATTTTATTGTATTTATAAATTGCATATTTTGTAGGAACAAGTATAACATACTTAAGATTTTGGTAATACTAGGTTAAATTCTTTTACATTACTTTTTTTTAAAGTGTTATGCTTTTAAGTTCTATTGTACTAAGTTCTTTCTAGGGAGGGACAACTATAAATTTATTTTTTCTTATATCAGTCATGGTAATTTAACTAAAAGTTGGCAGTATAGAAATATTTTCCCATAAATATTTTAAGTTTTTAAGCCATCAAATAAATAAGATATCCCCTTTTGAACTTCAAAATAGTAAAATAGTTGAAATTCAATAAAGATTATAAAACTTTTTAAAATAAGTTTTAGGTGATTAATATTTGGAACTATATTAGCAGCACTCTAATTTCATTGACTCAGTCCATTGTTTTACTTTGCTTACCTGGTCCTTTAAAAGAAAAACATGAACTCTTGGCTGCCTATTGTAAATTTGCACATATTAAAATGTAAATACATAAAATAAATAATTTTCTTTTCTGTTTTGGGAGGCTAGAAGGTCCAGCTTGAAAAACGTGTCTGACCTATTTGTGATGGGAGGAGCTCTTGTTTTGGAGTCGGCAGCTCTCCTGCACTGGCTGGAAAGGGAGGGTTATGGACCTCTGGGAATGACGGGCATATCCATGGGAGGACACGTAAGCCTTTTATTTTAACTGATGTTTGCTTGTGATTGTGTTGACAAGATCTAGGGAATCTAGTTATTTTAAAAATTCACTTTATGTACAGAATTCATAAGTACTGATGTTATTTTTTTTTTGTATGATTTGTGTACACACTGACTGTACTTACTCCACAGTTATATCTCAGGTTTTGGATTTGATATTTTATTTAAAGTTGGTTATGGAACTTAATTCAAGTTTCAAGTATAAGTGTCTTACATTGGTGAAAAGAGCTAATTTGGAAAATACTTTTCATTTATCTCTTATCTCTATATGTGGTACCACCAACCTATCTACCTTTGTCTTCCGATTGGTTTCGCTTGTCTGTATTCTTCCCCTTAATCTTTTCATAACAGTTTCTCCACACCCTAGTGATCTTCCTCATCTGAACTGTGCCCGATGCCTGCCACCGACTTGCTGTTGCACTGCTGTGACTGTGCCAGGTGCTGGCACCTTCCTGGTGCCCCTCCATGCCCCCCTCCATGCCCCCTCCGGGTGCCCCTCCATGCCCCCCTCCATGCCCCCGCCAGGTGCCCCTCCATGCAGCTGAGTGACACCTGGCTCTTCTGGTTTCAGTGTAGAGCTTACCTCCCAGGAGAAGCTCTTCCTGACTCCCAACCTGTCGCAGACTATACTTCGTCTCCCATTAACCCTTATTTCACTGTACTTATGTGGCAGTCTGCCCCATCAAGCAGTAGATTCAGTGAGCACCAGGATACGCTCTGGCTCATTCCCTGGACATATCAGTCACTCATTACAGTAAAAAACTATCTCTGGCCTGGTCCGTGTGCCTCAGTGGTTGAGCATCCACCCCTGCACCAAGAGGTCGCCAGTTCAATTCCCGGCCAGGGCACATGCCCAGGTGTGGGCCAGATCCCCAGTGGGGGGGCGTGTAGGAGGTGGCCAGTGTTTCTGTCTCTCTCTCCCTCTCCCTCTAAAATCAATAAAGAAAAAATATTTTTTAAAGCTATCTGTCATTTGACTTACAAGAAAGATTAAGTTCAAAAACCTAAATTCAAAGCAGTTACCAAAGAGTGAAGTTGATAAAATTACTTCAGGAACTTCATCAAATTCAGACTGAAGGGTGGAAAAGGATTTACTTTCTACCTGGTAGTGTTTCCATCATCAGGACTTAGGTTGGGCCTCATAATTGCACATGGTCTTCCTGTCTCAGACCTCGTCCTCTCGAATCAGGCATGTGAACTACCATCAGTTTAGCTTCCTTGAGTCGCTCCCTTGACGGGGCCCCTCCTTTGCTCGGCCCCTTCATTAATTCCCTGTTACCTGCAGAACAGAGGAACCTCTCATCTGATCTTGATCAGTCTTTCCAGCCCTGCCTGTCTCCGGGACCCCAGTGGCCACGTGTGCACTGTTGACCAGCTGAGCTGAGGTACAGGGAGGGGCACAAGTAGGTTTACAGTTATGAGACTCGACACAATTTATTCTTGAATTACTTTCCGTACAAACACCTGTGAACCTACTTTTGCCCACCCTGTATATTGGCTCTTACCCTACCACACAGACTCTGTGCTTTCTGCTATCTTGCCTTTGATCCTACTGTCTTCTTTATATAGAAGGTAAGACCCCATCTTTCATTTTCCCTAACAGGCAGCCATTTCATGAAGCCGCCTCCAATTCCTCTAGCCAAAACTAACTCTTCTCTCTAAACATATACATTACATTATTTTATGTCAGTTATATATTGTTTTGCAGTCTACCAGATTCTTGGCATCTTTCAGTCAGCTTGAGGGATCTGAGTCTCATAGATGGGACTTGGCTGTAGTTGAACGAGTCACGTAGGTAGTAAATGTGCTCAGCCTGCATCTTCTGAGATGCAGATGCTGTATCTTCACCAGCAGAAAGCAGCCCTCTACGAAAGCTCTGAGGTTACTTAAAATGTTCTAATATACTTTGCTTTCAAAGGGTAAAGTTATATGTTGTTGAGTTTATGACTTTGGAATTTGAAAAGGTTGCTAGACAGTCTCATGAGTGTTTAGAGACTTTGTGTTCCTATCAACTACTATACAAAGTGCTTCTTAATATTAAATATTTTTTATTTTAATGAGTAGAAAGTTTAAATATTCTAACGACTCTGTTAACGTGTTACAGATGGCTTCCTTAGCGGTGTCCAGCTGGCCTAAGCCCATGCCATTGATTCCATGTTTGTCTTGGTCCACAGCCTCTGGGGTCTTCACCACGGTAATTTAATTGCAATTAATATTTAGGTAGCTATATATGCTTACAGGAACTCCCAAGACCACCCCCAGGTTTGGTGATTCACGAGAAGGAATCAGAGGACTCAGCATGTGGTCATACTCATGACTAAGACTCGTTACATCAAAAGGGTACAGTACAGAATCAGCGAAGGGAAAAGATACATGGGGCCAAGTCTAGGGGACACCGGGCACAAGTTTTCAGTGAAATTCACAGGATATGATTGATTCCTTCAGCAGTGTGACAATATCTGCAAAGTGTTGTCCATTAGTGCAGCTTGAGCCCAGAATTCCAGGGTTTTTATCAGGGGTCGTCATTGAGGCGCCTTTTGTGTAGCATGTACCGAAACACCAGAAGGAAAGCAGGTGTTCAGCAGAAACTACATTGTACAGTTTAGGCAGAGAGAACACTTTGTCATTTAGGAAGTTTTGTATCAGGGTAAAGAGCTGTTTACCAGTCAAGCTTCCAGACTTTAGTCAAGGGCCAATTATAAGCAGGCCTTTCTAAAGATAGGAAATCTCAAGCCTACTATATTCACTCTTTTTTGCACAAACTAATAAAATTTTTGGACAAACTGGTTTATAGTGCGATTTGATCTTAATGTAGTTTGTTTTTTCAGGGTGTGTTGAGTAAATCGATTAATTGGAGGGAGCTGGAAAAGCAGTATTATACACAGACAGTTTATGAGGAAGAAATTATTCACATGCTTGAATATTGTGGAGTAAGTATTTTTAATTTCTGTGTAACCTCAGGGAAAGTGTTGGTTGTGTTTAATGAATCAAAATTTTAAAAAGAACTGCATCCCAGCCAATGTGGCTCAGTGGACTGAGCGTCGTCCCATGGACTCAGAGGTCCCGGTTCTGTTCCCCGTCAGGGCACATGCCCAGGTTTTGGGTTTAATTTTCAGTAGGGGGCATGCAGGAGGCAGCCAATGGATACATCTCTTTCACATCGACGTTTCTATCTCTCCCTCTTGAAAAATCCTTTTTTTTTTTTTTTTAATTGGTAATTTTAGGGCCTGTCCCTATAGCTCAGTTGGTTAAAGCATCTCCCAGTAAGCCAAGGTGGCAGGTTTGATCCCCAGTCAGGGCACATAGAAGAAGCAAACAGTGAATGCATAAATAAGTGGAACTAATTGATGTCCCCCCTACGCACACTGGTGCTCTCTCTCTCACCCTCCCCTCCCTCTCCCTTTCTTTCTTCCTCTCTCAAATCAATTTTTAAAAAGGACTGCAATTTTTTTCTTTATTGATTTTAGAGAGAGGAAGTGAGAGGGAGAGAGAGATAGAAACATCAATGAGAGAGAACATCGATTGGCCGCCGCCTGCATGCCCCCCCCCCCCCCCCAGGCATTTGGCCCACAACCTGGGCATGTGCCCTGCCCGGGAATTGAACTGGAGACCTCTTGGTGCATGGGTCAACGCTCAACCACTGAGCCACACTGGCCGGGCTTCATCTCCCCTTTTATATCTCTGTGGTCTGGATGGCTTTAATGATTTGTTCTGTTAATTGGCTTATTGGGTGCTTTTTCTGTTCTTCAACCAATTTTTCATTCTTTAATTTTTAAAGTAGATTGTATGGCTATATAGTTCAAGCATATAAAAAGATATGTAGTGAAACAGATACTACCCATGTTCCCAATTTGCCTAGATTCTATCTCCCTGAACAAATAATTCACTGTATTATTGTTTAACATTTGAAGGAATTTTTCAGACCAATAGAAATATAGCCCTGGCCGGTTTGGCTCAGCGGTTAGATTGTCAGCCTGCGGTCCAGAGAGACCCGGGTTCGGTTCCCGCTAAGGGCATGTACCTCGGTTGCAGTTTGTCCCCGGCCCTGGTTGGGTCGTGCAGGAGGCAGCCACTTGATGTGTCCCTTTCACATCAGTGTTTCTCCCTCCCACTCTATGTGAACAAAAAATGGAAAACTGGCCCTGGCCAGTTTGGCTCAGCAGTTAGAGCATCAGGCTGCCGTCCGAGTTTCGGGTTCAGTTCCCTCTAAGGGCACGTACCTCGATTGCCATTTGTCCCCAGCCCTTGTTGAGTTGTTTAGGTGGTAACCACTCAATGTGTCCCTTTCACTTCGATGTTTCTCTCTCTCCCTCCCACTCTATCTGAACAAAATATCGAAAAATGTCCTCAGGTAAGGATTAAAAAAAAAGAAAAAATGTCCTCGGGTGAGGATAAAAAAAAAAAAAAACCCGTTCCCTTCAGTGTAACAAAAAGATAAAAATATGTTTAAAAAAAAAATGAAATCTTTTTCTCTTCTCATTGTTTATGGACCATACACAAATGAATCCTTTTTCTTTTTTACTGCTGCATAATAGCTTGTTATAGGGATGGATGTGCCGTGATTTATTAACTGAATCCTTGTTGGTGGGCATTTTATGTCCTTCTTCATCTTTCACTATTGAAAAACAATACTTCAAGAGAAACTTTGTACATAAATCATTTCGCAAGTGTAAATTCCTAGATATATTGTTGCTGAGTTGAAATGTGGTTAGATTTTGTCTAACTCTAGTTGTGTCAGTTTATGCTACCAGCAGAAACATGTGTCTTTTCCCCCATAAGTTCACAAATTCAGTGTGTTATCAAACTTACAGAGGTATCTGTCAAACTGATGGTGAAAATTGGTTTAGTTTTTGTTTAATTTACTTAATTTTTTTGTGAAATTGAACATGTTTATAAGTTTAAGAGTAATTTCTATTTTATTTTCTGTGACCTTTTTCTGTTGTGATTTTGGGCTTTCTCTTCACTCTAGCTCTTAATAAATTAAAGCAATTAGCTCTTTGTCATATCGGTTGTAGATATATATTCTCAGGCTATCATATTTTTTACTTAACTTTGGTTTTAGTATTCGACAAAGTTTATTTTTATTTAAATTATGTACTATTTATAGGTCCTTAAACTTAAGTTAATACTTTTGAGATTTTTTTTTTTTTTGGGGGTACGTGTCCCTAGTGGGAACCGAACCCAGGACTCTCTCTGGTCCGCAGGCTGACGCTCCAACCGCTGAGCCAAACCAGCCAGGGCTATTTTTGAGATTTTAATAGACAATATTTATTCCTTAATAATTTTTAATTCTTGTCAGTTTAACCTGGGCAAGAGATTTGGAATGGCTATTGTATTGCTGACAGGATACATTCATAAAACTTTTGGAAGTTCTAGATCATGGATTTCTAAACTTTGGTGATAAAAACATGAGACAGACTAAATTATGCCCTTTACATTTACTGTTCAGTAGGAAACATTTAATAATAAAATATAAATGTCTTAGTCCTAAGTTAAATTTTGACATCTCTTTTTTTTAATTGTGGTAATAAAATGTACCATTTTAAGCATTTCTGAGTGTACAGTTCAGTGGTAGTATGTATGTTCACATTGTTTTGCCACCATCGCCTCCTCCAGCACCGATATCCAACTGCAGAATTTGCCATCTTCCTAAACTAAGATTCTGAACCTGTAAACAATAGGTCTCCATTCCGGCCTCCTCCCTGCCCTGGCGACCACCATTCTGCTTCCTCTCTTTATGAACTTGACTACGTAGGTTCTTCATAATGGTGGAATCATACAGCATTTGTCCTTATGTGCCTGGTTTATTCATTCAGCATAATGTCTTCAAAGTTCACCCATGTTTTAGCATGTTTCAGAATTTCATTAATAATCCATTGTATATATACCACATTCTGTTTTTCCATTTATTTGTTGATGGACATTTGTGACTCCTTTCTGTTTTAACAAGGTTGTTAAATAAAATTCTATTTTATATTAATGATGTTTTCTTTTCTTTCATATCTTCAGACAGATTCTTTCAAAATGGGACAAGATTTCGTGAAATGCTTCCCTAGCAGTGCAGACAAGCTCACTAACCTTAATCTGGTTTCCAGAACTTTAAATTTCGATGTGACTGACCAAGTTGTGTCCTCAAAACCTGCTGAGTGCCATAAATCTAGTAAAGCATCTTTTAGGGCCACATCAGAAGAACTCTTATTGAAAGATACTTCTCAGATGGAGTGCTTCAATCAGACACTTTCAAACAACAAAAGTAGTTATACAAGTTGTAATCCTCAGTCATACCACCTACTCAGTAAAGAACAAAGAAGAAAAAATCTTCAGAAAGAATCGTTACTGTTTATGAAAGGAGTCATGGATGAATGTACTCATGTAGCAAATTTCTCAGGTATGAATTTTTATATGAAATTGAGAATATTTGATGATGTATAAATTAGTGAAATATTTTTAAGGATGCTTTATAAGTTAATTTTGTATTTTCCAGAGTATATTTACTGTTGGCTTCAGAATGTGTTTAGCAAGATAACCTGATTATTTAAATGTATCATTTTATCCATGAAAATCTAAGACCATCTTATTCATTAAAAACACTGGATTTTGTACCTTCTTTAGAATAGTCATCTCATTATATTAGAGTTGAATATTACAGTATGGTATATTATAGTTGATTTTTAACTTATTAAAAAGATTTCTAGTTTGACACGTTTCACTGACTGAACTGTATGATGCATTTTATCTAATAATACAATTAATAGGACATATAAAATCTTAGAGATTTTTAAAAAGTATGTATGTTGCATTTTTTTAAAATCCTGTACCTAGTTCCAGTTGACCCAAGCCTCATTATAGTGGTTCAAGCCAAAGAAGATGCCTATATTCCACGAACAGGAGTTCGAAGTCTACAAGAAATATGGCCTGGTTGTGAAATCCGATATCTAGAAGGGGGTCATATTAGTGCTTATCTTTTTAAACAAGGACTCTTCAGGTAAGATGATTGGTCTGAAAAGGTGTCTATTGTTTGATTTTGGATTTATTTTTTTGACTGAACAAATACAAAAATTGGTGTTTTGTTGTTTTTTTTATCCTCACCTGAGAATATTTTTCCATTGATTTTTAAATAGAGTGGAAGGGAGGGAGGGAGAGTGAGAGAAACATCGATGTGAGAGAGACACATCGATTGGTGTCCTCCCTCACGACCTCAGCTGGGGCTGTTGATCAAACCTGAAATCCAGGCACATGCTCCTGGCCGGAATCAAACCTGAGACCCTTTGTCCGAAGGCTGACACTCTAACCACCGAACCAAATTGGCCAGGGCAAGACTAAGTAATTTCAATGTATGTTTTAGTCCTCTTGTTTCCTCCCTGGTTTCCCTCAGTTCTCACATTGTGGTACTCTTTCCTTCTTGTCCTCTTATTGACTTTTTCTTCTAGAGAACTAGGAAGTAGCCTATGATAGGCACGCTTTGCACGTGGTTTTACCCTCTTCTGATGTCAAAGGCAGGTGTTGTAGGGATGGGGAAGAATGTCACGCTCTGTGGAACTTGCTCAGGTTTCTCACTCCGCATGATGTTCTTTCTCAGATTGGCCTGAGCATCTGTGGAATAGTCTAGCACTGGTTTTCAGTAGCAAGTGAATATTGAACCTTAGAAAGAGAAGAGAAATATTGGTTTTGATATTAGTAACTTTTATGACTCCAGTATTTGTTAAAACTTATAAAACTTGTATACTATAACTCGTTTTTTCGTATCCTGCATTATTACTACTTTTATTCAAATTTGATGGTAAAAGGTATCGTTGGAATATTTATCATTAATGGTTAAATTAGTTCACATAAAGTGGTAGGTCAGTGCCCTGGGTGAAATAAGTGTTCCAAAATTTACACCTGGGTAGCTATAGAAAAGTTGAGTGTGCTATATGTTTGACATCTTTAATTCTTTTTAATCTAAAAAATAATTCTTTGTGTATTATTACTTCCACATATAGATGTCACCTTTTTGAGGTACAGACTAATTTATTATTTTTTTTATCCTCACCCGAGGACACTTTTGCATTCATCTTCAGATAGAGCGGGAGGGAGAGAGGGAGGAGGAGAGAGAGAAACATCGATGTGAGAGAGACACATCGAGTGTTTGCCACCCACACGATCCCAACCAGAGCCAGGGACAAACTGCAACCGAGATATGTGCCCTTAGCAGGAACCGAAGCCGGGCCCCTCTCTGGTCCGTTCTAACTGCTAAGCCAAACCAGCCAGGGCTCTTTAAGTCTGTAATGTCCTGAAGCATATAATAAATCTTTCTTTTTATTGTATGATCTTTTAAAAAATATTTCTTCAGCATTTGAATCCCTGTTGGTAAGTGAGCAGACTACCTCCCCAATGCAACTTTCTGACACAGTAAAACAGCAAAAAACAAAACAAACATTGTGAGTGCTTTGGGTTGCTAAGGTTGCTCAAGTAGAGTCTAAAGGTCTGTTACATTTTTGAATCAGAGAACCCACATGCTTGCTTTAGTAAATCAGTGTCAAATTTCTTTTTCTCTTTCATGTATCTAAGTGGGAGTTTGTCTGAAAGGCATTAGGAAGTATAGATATAATCATAGCTGTAAAAACTTGAAAGTGCTCATTTAAAGGCTTCATTTGAGAAAGAGATCAATGTTAGCTGTTACCGTGTGCCAAGTACTAGAGCAGTTGCTGCATATGTTACTAATCTCTACACAGACATACAGGGGCAAAGAAGAGTAACCTGCTCTGGAATCACTATTTGGCCTCCCTGAACCTCCCCCCCACCCCAATCACTTCAAAACCTAACAGTTTAGAATTTTAAAAATTCATTCTTTTCACTCACCAGATGTAACAAAAGCCACTCTTTTCTGTGCTTTTATATGTTGTGTTATTATTTAGAATCGATTGATAATACAGGTGAATAAGAGACTATTCAAAAGATTAAAAAGGCATATGTATACCTTTCCTAACCCTCCTCATACCATGTAAACAAGCCCAGGTTGCAACCTTAGGCATCAGGAAGTAAAAGAAATTCATTCTAGCAGAGCAAATATCCAGGACTAACTCAGGGGGAAATTTTGTTCAGTGGACAAAACATGCAGGGTCCCCCTCTCTCACCTGCAATCAATTACTGCTCTGTCACCTGCCCTATAGCAAAAGCTCTTTGTATGTTGACACCAACATGCAAATGTTCATCTTTAGTTTGTTTACCTTCTTATTTGTTACATTTTACAAGGGACACATTTCTGAGACAAACAAATAAAAGTGTGATGGAAGTCATAATCTATTAGGCTGCCAGTTTTAAAGATAACCTTAATATCTTTTCAAGAATGTGGGGAAATGCTTTGTCCGACAAGTAGGATACAGAATGGATATGATTTCGTTATTCTTTAAACTGGGTGAACATATAGATGTATGGATTTCAAATAAAAAAAAGCCCGTAGGGCCCTGGCTGGTTTGGCTCAGCGGTTAGAGCGCCAGTCCACGGACCAGAGGGTCTGGGGTTTGATTTTCCGGTCAAGGGCACCTACCTGGGTTGCAGATTCGATGCCCAGCCCCAGGCTGGGTCCTGCGGGAGGCAACCAATCTGTGTCACATCAATGTTTTTCTCTCTCTCTTCCTCCCTCCCACTCTACCTAAAAATCAATGGGAAAATATCCCTGGGTGAGGATTAACAACAACAAAAAGCCTGTAGGAAATATATAACGTTACAGCAGATACCTCAGAGTGATGGGATTATGACTCTTTTCCCTATGTTCTTGGGTTTTCTGAAGAAAACATTCTACAATAGAAATGTAGACTCTCACAATATGGAAAAAACAAAATAAGCTTTAAAAATAATATCCTTTAGCCCTGGCCGGTTTGGCTCAGCGGTTAGAGTGTTGGCCTATGGTCCCAAGAGACCCGGCTTCGGTTCCCGCTAAGGGCACGTACCTCGGTTGCAGTTTGTCCCCGGCCCTGGTTGGGTCGTGCGGGTGGCAGCCAGTCGATGTGTCCCTTTCACGTCGATGTTTCTCTCTCTCTCTCTCTCCCTCCCACTCTATCTGAACAAAATATGGAAAAACGTCCTCAGGTGAGGATAAAATAATAATAATATCCTTTAAATCTGTGCCAGATAATTTTGATTCTTCCTTCCCAATTAAATATTAAAATACTGCCCTGGCCGGTATGCTCAGTGGTTAGAGTGTTGGCCGGCAGACCAGAGAGACCCGGGTTCGGTTCCCGCTAAGGGCACGTAGCACCGTTGCAGTTTGTCCCCGGCCCCTTGGGGTTGTGTGGGTGGCAGCCAGGCGATGTGTCCCTTTCACATCGATGTTTCCCTGTCTCTTTCCCCCTCTCCCCTTCCCGCTCTGTCTGAAGATAAATGCAAAAATGTCCTTAGGTAAGGATAAAAAAATAATTTAAATACCTAGTAAAATTAATGTAGGAAACTACAGCGTTTGCTTTTAAGTTCAACTGCTAGGAACTTTTCTGTTTAATTGGAAGGGAGGGAGGAAGAGAGAGAGAGCGAGACATCGATGTGAGAGACACATCAATTGGTTGACTCCTGCACTACCTCTGCTGGAGCCAGGATCAAACCTGCAACCCAGGTCCGTGCCCTTGACCGGGAATCGAACCTGTGACTCTTCCGCCCGAGGGCCAGTGCTCTAACCACTGAGCAACCGGCTAGGGCAGGAACATGTTTTTTTAATAATAAAACGTATATCATAATCTATGAAATAAATTTAATACTATATTCTGAAAAATTATGTATCCAGTTAATATTTAACAAGTGATAAAATAAAAAGAAACCAGTTCCTTTTTCTTTTATCATTTCATGTATTATACATATATGTGTACATATATATTATATAAATCTAAGGCACAAAAAGTGCTCCACAGAAAACAGTGGTGGTTCTGCACGTGTGACACCGTCAGGCGGGAATGCGTCGGAGGTCGCGGCAGTGCTGAGGCTCCGAGCCCAGACCCACCCCCGGTACCTGCCTCTTCCACCGGGACCGGAGAGGAGGTTGTGGCCAAAGGTAATCTTTGAAACAACTTATAGTAAAACACTGCATGTTCCTCTTTTTTGCTAATTATTTGTAGTTTTTCGTTTTTAATTTTAGACGAGCCATCTATGATGCATTTGAACGCTTCCTGCATAAATATGCTAACTAACTGGATCACTGTATATAGCCAGTGTGGCCCTATTTCTCACAGGAGTTTCATCCTTTGATGGTGTGAAAAACAAGCAGACAGTACTGTATATCTAACTGCCATCGAGTTATTCTGGAATTCAGTGTTACAAGTCAGTCAACTATAATCTTTAAATGCATTTGAATAACTTTAAACCAGTATTTGGATGAAGTGATGTTAAAGTATTTTGTTTGTGGGAATCCCATATACTCAATATATAGTCTATTATTTCAACTTATGAAAACTTTAAATTTTTAATTATGAATAATTTATTGATTTAAAATAAATTTATTCATAGAAATTATATTGGTTTTTACAGAACTGCTAAATCAAAGTTTGTGATACATCAGCTTCTATTATATACCCTTATATTTTTACTACTGATTTGCTCTGAGAAACATGTTTATTTCCTTTATGGATCCATAGTGAATTTATAATCTTATTTTCACCTTTAATTTTCTGCCATGAAAATATATATGATGTGTGAAATCACCGTAAACTTTGAGTTCTAAAAAATCCTGATTGTTTTGTATGTAAGTGCTTTTAATAATTAAAACGAATATGAGAATGCAGACATAATGCATAAGACTTGGCTAGATTTTAAAACTGCCTAATGTTAGGTTAGAAAAAAAATGCCAAATATATTTCCCCTACTTAACAACTTTCAATTCATGAAAAGTGGAAATACCTGTTGCATTAATTGGTACACATTGTGTCTTAACATTTTCTTACATGTATATCTAGTCTGGGTCTACAAAACATCTAACTTTACTTTAGGCCAAGTACATAACAGCTTTGACTTCTTTATTTCAAAAATTAATAGCCATAGTGAAATTGTTCTGTCCCAAATAAACTTAACTTACAGAAAAGATTTTAACTAGTAACTTTTTTAAATTGGAAGATTACATGGATAGATACGGTGCTTTGTTTTTATGATAAAGTTCTCAAGCTGAGAGCTAAGATACTCTCAAAAAATAGAGGGGGAAAAAAAAAAAATATATATATATATATATATATACATATACATACATACACACACACACACACACACACACACACACACACACAGAGCCAGGCAGTAGAAAATATTTTTGAGTATTGTGTCAAGGCTTAGAATAAATGTATTTGAGTTTTATTTATTTAAAATCCGTGCTGTCTATAGATTATATTTAAAAATGTATTCCTAATCTAGTAAGGATATTTGAATTATGATTGTAGCCTTTTTAAGGAGATTTTGTCATGCTAACGTCTCCATCATTTCAATTTTTAAATACTATTTTTAAATTATTAATGTGAAGTCATTGATGGCATACAGAGTTATAAAATTTGTGAAACTACTTTGACATAACAAACCAACATGGTTACAGCCATTTAAGCTGTAGCAATTTTACATGTTCAGATAGAACCTTTACTTTTAACTGAAAGTATAAAAATCTAAAGTTCTTCAATAATATACCCTTTAAAGTAAAAGTTGTTATCAATTGAATCACATTTATTTTCTTTTGTGTAATGTGAGGTAATAGGATTGAATGCTTTCTGAATAGTGGGCTTTAGCAAAACCAATACTTTATTCTCACATAAGTATTTCTTACTGAGCAATTTATTTCACTTTAATTAACTCTTGGGCATAACTAATTTTTCTCAAATAGATGTGGAAGAACGTATTTAAGAATTTCCTCTGTTAACCAGCGTTGTAAGAATATGTTGCTGGGGGAGCACTCGAGGTCTTGCTTCCCAGCTTTGTCATCAATTTGGCTCAAATAAACTTTTACAGGAATTCTGAAAAAAAAAAAAAAGATTATACCTGTGCAGTTAACTAAACTGATTAATTCTAAGTCAAACTACCTTTTCTTAAAGTTTTTATCTACTCCCCCCCAAAATAGTAACTTAAGCTTCATATATATACTCACACACACAGCAGTGCTGTCTGCCATTTTGAGGACTGGACACATACACTGCTAGAAATTACTGAGGCCAGAGTTGCAGACTGGCCGTTGATTCAGGCCTGCTTAACCCACAGTTGCTCTATGCAGCGTGCATAATATTTCAGAATCCGAGATGTGTTCGGAATGGCACGCATTCCAGTTTGCCACAGTCTGCTGGACTCCCTCTTATTAGACTATGTCACTACTGTGTGTTTCCTACTCAGCCCTAGAGTTTGACAACCCTGATTTAGATCTGTGGTTAGAAAAAGCTTCTGAATTTCATGAGTTCCTAATGTTGTAATTACTATGAAATAATTGAGCATATGCATTTTAGATGGTTTCCTATGAATGTAATTTTTTAATGTGGTGCTTTCTCTTGTAAAGAATATTGAATTGTTAACACTGTAACTGAAAATTTTAAAATCATGTCCAAATATTTTATACTTCACAATAAAAGTTTATTTAAAAAGTTACTTGTGTTCAAGAGGTATTATTCTAAATCCTTGTCTGTTTATGACCCAAATAAGGTAACGCATAAATAAGCTAGGGAAGGACCGTGGCCAGGTAGCTAAGGTTGCAGGTTTAATCCCCAGTAAGGGCATATATAAGAATCAACCACTGAATGCATAAATAACTGGAACAATAGACTTCCGGTCAAGACGGCGGGTAGGTAAACGCGGTATCGTGTCCTCCCACAACCACATCAAAGTTACAACTAAACTACAGAACAACCATCATTCAAAACCACCTGAAATCAAGCTGAATGCAGTCCTACAACTACGGAATTAAAGCAGCAGCCACATGGAGACTGGTAGGAGGGCGGAGGGGACGGGCTGGGCCCACACCCAAGTGTGGGGATAAAAATCAGGGGGACACCTCGGCTGGGAAGGTCCTCCCTGAGGACTGAGGGGTCCCCGTCCCACACCAGGCGCCCTGCTCAGGGTCCCAGTGCCAGGAAGAGAATCCCCATCACTTCTGGCTGGAAAACCAGCAGGAACTGAGGCTCAGGGAGGCTGAGGCGGCTGGAGCCCCAGGCAGCTCCTTAAAGGGCCCGCGCACAGACTTAGCGGACTCTCTCCCTCTGAGCTCGGAGGGGAGGCAGCTCGAGGGGCGCCAGAGACACACAGGGAAGAACTGAGCTGTTTGGCACTGGAGCGAGGGCTGGAGAAGGGGCTTTCTCCAGGACAGACGTGCTGTCAGAGGCCTTTGCTCCTTTGGTGAGCCCTTCCCGGGGGCAGCAGACAGCCCCCATATCTGAGACCCCAGCAACCTGGCTCACACTGGTAGCCCCGCCCTGGTGACTCCCTGAGGCCCCGCCCCACCCAACTTTGAGGCCCACCCAAGCTGTTGCCACTTGCTTAACCATAGGATTGGCCTGTCTTGGATCCTGCTTCAGGTTTTTCCTAAATTCTTTCAAACGAGCAGCATCTGGTCTCAGCGACCCCCTTACCTCTCATTAAGTAATACACTGAAACAAACACAGGGAGGCAGCCAAAATGAGGAGACCAAGAAACAGGTCCCAAATGAAAGAACAGAACAAAACCCTAGGAAAAGAACTAAGCGAAATGGAGATAAGCAACCTAACAGATACTGAGTTCAAAATACTGCTTATAAGGATGCTCAATGAACTTAGTGAGAACCTCAGTGAACTTAGTGAGGGCCTCAAGAGCATAAAAAAGGACCAGTCAGAAATCATGGATGCACAGTTAGAATTGAAGGAGGCATTAACTGAAATAAAGAACAATTCACACAGCTTCAATAATAGAGTACGTAAATCCAAGGAGCAAACCATCGATTTGGAATATAAGGAAGCAAAAAATGCCCAATCAGAACAGCAAAAAGAAAAAAGAATCAAAAAAAAAATGAGGATAGTGTAAGGAGCCTCTGGGACAACTTCAAGCGTGCCAACATTCGCATCTTGGGGGTGCCAGAAGGAGAAGAGAGAGAACAAGAAATCAAAAACCTGTTTGAAACAATAATGGCAGAAAACTTTCCTAACTTGGTGAAGGACACAGACATACAAGTCCAGGAAGCACAGAGAGTCCCAAACAAGATGAACCCCAAGAGGCCCACACCAAGACACATCATCATCAAAATGCAAAAGGTTCAAGACAGAGAGACTCTTTAAAGCAGCAAGAGAAACGCAGCTAGTTACCTACAAGGGAGTTCCCATTAGGCTGTCAGCTGATTTCTCAAAAGAAACTTTGCAGGCCAGAAGGGAGTGGCAAGAAATATTCAGAGTGATGAAAAGCAAGAACCTACAACCAAGATTACTCTATCCTGCAAAGCTGTCATTTAGAATCGATGGCCATATAAAGACTTTCCCAGACAAGAAAAAGTTAAAGGAGTTCATCACCACCAAACCGTTATTACATGAAATGATGAAGGGTCTTTTTGAAGAAAAAGATAAAAAACATGAACAAACAAAATGACAATGAATACATATCTATCAACAATGGAATCTACAAACAAAATGAACAGGTAGAACAGAAACATTCTCATAGATACAGAGAACATTTTGTTGGTTGCCAGTTGGGAGGGGGGTTGGGGCAATGGGTGAAAAAGGTGAAGGGATTAAGAAGTACAAATTTATTGCTAGACTGACAAACCTCAAAGGGAAAGGGGTGGGGGAGGGGAATAAACCAAAGAACTTATATGCATAACCAATGGACACAGACAATAGTGTGGGAAAAGGCGGGAGGGGGGAGGGAGTGTGGAGGAGGGGGTCAATGGGGGAAAAATGTGGAACATCTGTAATACATTTTACATCCAACAATAAAGATTTAAAAAATAATAAGTGGAACAATAAATTGATGCTCTCACCCCCTTTCTCTTCCTTTAAAATCAATCAATAAAAATAATCCGGGGAAGCTCTAGCAGAATCATATTCAGTATCTACAGCAAAAGCCAAAATTTCTCCCAAAATATTTGTGATCCCAGGGAAACCAGCTTTCTGAGAGACCATTGTTGTCTGAATGTTGTATAAACTCACTCACTGTTGGATATGATTACATTTATACTAGTAAATATACTGCAAACAGTTAAAATCTGGAAATAAGAACTTAACTATAGGATGCAGCTGGACCGGCAACGGGAATCCTGGGTAGAGGCTGCTATAGAAACTGGGTTTGGATATAAAAGGAAAGATGATGGCAGATGAGACAAAGGGAAAAGAGGTACATTTTGCAGGAGTAGATAACCTACTTCTAGGAATAGTCATATAGGCAGCTGTGGCCAGTTTGGCTCAGCGGTTAGAGTGTCAGCCCTTGAACCAAAGAGTCCCAGGTTTGATTCCGGCCAAGGACATGTACCTCGGTTGTGGTTTGTCCCTGGCCCCGGTTGAGGTCCTGTGGGAGGCAACCAATTGATGTGTCTCACATGGATGTTTCTTTCTCTTTTCCTCCCTCCCTCCTGCTCTATCTGAAGATAAATGGAAAAATATCCTCAGGTGAGGATTAAAAAAACCAAAAAAGTCATATAGGCAGAATCTTAGGAAACCAAAGGTTGTAGGAAGGATTTTGAAACAGTTTTTTTTTTTTTTTTTTTTAGAGAAAGAGGAAAGGAAAGGGGAAGAGAGACAGAAACATCGATGAGAGAGAACATCCATTAGCCGCCTCCTGCATGCCTCTCATGGGGGACTTGGCTCACGACCTGGGCATGTGCCCTGACCAAGAGGTCACCGGTTTGATTCCCGGTCAGGGCACATGCCCAGGTTATGGGCCAAATCCCCAGCAGGGGTCATGCAGGAGGCGGCCCAGCGATATTCTCTCTCATCGATGTTTCTGTCTCTCCCTCTCCCTTTCTTTGTCTCTAAAATCAATAAAGGGAGAAAAAATATTTTTTAAAAAGAAGTCATACCCTAGCACTTTGCTTCTCAACGTGTGATCAGTATGTTGGCAGTGTCAACAGACAGAACTTAATATAACACTAGTAACAGTAATATTTAATCATTTTTCAAAATGCCCTAAAAATAAACTAAGTTCAAAGAAGCATAACTTTTTTTCTTCTAGTTGTCAAAGAACAAGGATTTTCAAACAATAGAATTTGTCAATGTAAGAGACGTCCAAACTTGTAGAGAATTTTTATGAGTTTATTTGAGCCAAACTGGCAACATATGCATAGGAGTAAGATTTCAAATGCTCCTGGAATAACAATTTTGCAGCCTTCTTTTATACATTTGAAACTAAGGAAGGACGTAAGGAAAACTGCCTGGTGGAGGGCAAAAGCCAGGCAGGGATTGGATTACAGGCTAGTTAACAAGATTATGTGCTCTTCTGAGGGTTAATACCCCTTTCCAGGGGTATTAATGTTGTTACAAAGGTGTGTTAACCTACATGCACAAGAACAATGGACTGGGTTGGCTTAAAATCTTTTACTAAAGAAGTTATAGCCCCGGCTGGTTTGGCTCAGAAGTTAGAAAGTTGGTACAAGGACAGAAAGGTCGAGGGTTGGATTCCAGTCAGGGGTGTGCACCTGGGTTGCAGGTTTGATCCCCAGCTCAGGTTAGGGGCATGCAGGAGGCAACCAATCAGTGTGTCTCTCTCACATCGATGTTTCTTTCTCCTTCCTTCCCTCCCTTTCAGTGTCTCTGAAATCAATGGAAAAAAATGTACATCCTTGGGTGAGGATTAACAACAACAGAAAAGTTATAGGCCTCCTGGGGCTGAACTGCCCACCATGACTTACCTGCCCAGTTAGGAACTTATGGTCAGATCGCCCTGAAAGGTATCACTTTCCACTGAACCCCTTTTTTTCCTGTCCACATTGTAAAATAAAAGTCTAAATAGTGGCCCAGCTGGTGTGGTTCAGTGGTTGAGAGGTCACCGGTTTGATTCCTGGTCAAGGCACATGCCCAGGTGTGGGCCTGATCCCTAATAGGGAGACATGCAGGAGGTGACCAATCGATGTTCTTGCTCATCGATGTTTCTCTCTCTCTTCCTCTTCCTTCCTCTCTCTCCAAAAATCAGTAAAGAAAAAGGAATGTTAAAAAATCACTAAAGAAAAATTATTTAAAAAAACAAACAAAAGTCTAAATAGTGAGCCAGGAAAGGCCGAGTTTTGAGCATCAAGGTGGAGAGTTCTTAGGCAAGACACCTGAAACATTTGAGAGAATTCCTACTTCTTGGGAGCAGGAAGGAGGGTGTCAATAGGGGGGGAAAGAAGGGACATCTGTAACACTTTCAACAACAAAGGTAAATTTTTTAAAAAAGAGAGTTCCTACTTCTGTGAAACTGACTCATTAAAACCAACCTACCTCGGAACAGCAACCTGGTGGAAAGGTAACCTAGATCGTTTTGAAACTGTTTGCATGGCAAGCACAGTGGGGTTTTTGTTGTTTTGTTTTGTCTTTTTTTGCTTTATTTGTATAATACAGATAAGTGGAAAAAGAATGAAGTTTCCTGAAGGTGCTTTTACTCTTACTTTATCTAAGATTGAATATGTCACTGTATTTACTGAAGAGAAAGTACCGATAAAGCTTTTCAAATACGCATTAGCACTGACCCTGCCGAGAATGGTAGAGATAATTAAAGTATTTAGTCCTATCCAAGCATTTGCCTCATGTTTTTTGTGATAAACAGGGCCCACGGCTCTTTGACTTGGAGGTAATGATAGTTCAATATATCCTATTGAAAAATTGGTCTCTTTTATTTTTATTTTTCATCCTCACCCGAGGACATTTTTGCATTTATCCTCAGATAGAGCGGGAGGGAGGAAGGGAGGGAGGAAGAGAGGGAGAAAAAGAGAAACATCGATGTGAGAAAGATACATCAAGTGGTTGCCACCCACACAACCCCAACTGGGGCCAGGGACGAACTGCAACCGAGGTACATGCCTTTAGTGGGAACCGAACCCAGGACTCTCTGGTCCATGGGCTGATGCTCTAACTGCTGAGCCAAACCGGCCAGGGCTCTAATGTTTTTTTGTGTTTGTTTTTTTTTCCCCTTTATTGATTTTAGAGAAGAAGGGAGAGAGAGAGGAAGATAAAAGCATCAATGAGAGAGAATATCGACTGGCCACCTCATGCATGCCCCTCACTGGGGATCGGGCCCACAACCTGAGCATGTGCCCTGACTGGGAATTGAACTGCGATCTTTTGGTACATGGGTCAATGCTCAACCGCTGAGCCACACCGGCTGGACTAAATGTTTTTTAAAATATGTTTTCAATGATTTTTTTTAGAGAGATAGAGACATCAATTAGCTGCCTCCTGCATGTCCCCTTCTGGGGATGGAGCCCAAAAGCTGGGCATGTGGTGTGACCAGGCATCGAACCGGGACCTCTCAGTCCATGGGACAACGCTCAATCCACTGAGCCACACCAGCCAGGCAAAAACATTGGTCTCTTTTAAAGTCATCATCTTATAGGAAGTTAATAAAATTATCTCTGGGTTCAGTTTTATCTTTTCCTTGGACTGTGGGACTTGGGAGCAGACTATATTTAATGCATTCTCTGAAATCTCCAGCATAAAGTACACCTATTTGCACATTGGGTTTTTGCCAGTCTGAACCTAAATTGTACTGCTAATAAAAACAAAGATCTTCATGTTCTTGTGGGACTTCCCTGAGACTCCAGGGGGAGGGGAAAAAGCAATGGGTTCAATCACTGGATGAAATATTAGCATACTCTAAACAGGAAAAACAAGATTTATCTTTTAAAGGCTCATCTGAATAACCATTTGAATATCAAGTTTGTATAAGGTGACTAGGTATTTCATAACTTCTGAGGGCTTAGAGAACTATCTCCCTTTTTTATTATTATTTTTTTTCCTTGATTGATTTTAGAGAGAGAGAAACATTGATGAGAGAGAACATCGATGGGCTGCCTTCTGCACGGCCCCCACTGGGGACCAAGCCCACAACCTGGGCATGTGTCCTGACTGAAAATCGAACTGACGACCTCTTGGTGCAGGGTCGACTCAACCACTGAGCCACACTGGTCGTGCAGCTGCTTCTTCATTTTTTAAATTAATTTGAGAGAGGGAGAGAGACAAACATCAATGTGAGAGGAACACGGATCGGTTGCTTCCAGTATATGCCCCAACTGGGAATCAAGCCTGCAACCTGGGTATGTGCCCTGACCAGGACTCGAACCCACAGCCCTTAGTGTACCTGTGTTCCAGGTTCCAGTTTTCCATCACAAAGAAGAAACAGGTCACGGCTTCAGGTTCACGATCTTCAGTTGATCATTCTCTTTGTTCTCGACATTCCAGTCTTTTCTAATAAGAAGAAACAGATTTTTAAATTTTATTTATTAAGCCCTGGCCGGTTTGGCTCAGCTGTTAGAGTGTCGGCCTGCGGTCCCGAGAGACCCGGGTTCGGTTCCCGCTAAGGGCACGTATCTCGGTGTCGCAGTTTGTCCCCGGCCCTGGTTGGGTTGTGTGGGTGGCAGCCACTCGATGTGTCCCTTCACGTCGATGTCTCTCTCTCTCTCCCTCCCACTCTATCTGAACAAAATATTGAAAAAAGTCCTCAGGTGAGGATTAAAAAACAAAATTAAATTTTATTTATTAATTTTTTTTTTTTTTTAGAGAGAGAAGGGAGAGAGAGAGAGAGAGACCTATTTGTTGTTCCACTTATTCATACATTTATTGGTTGATTCCTCTATGTGCTCTGACCGGTGATCAAACCCACAGGTGTCTCAGGATGGTGCTCCAACTGAGTTACCCGGCCAGGGCTTTGATGTTTCAGTCTTAAGGAGATCATTTGCCTGGTGGTCGGGGGCTGTGAACATGCATTTAAAGCTTTAAAAAAAAATTTTTTTTCTTTTATTTTTTTTTTATTTTTCATGCACCCCGACTGGGAACCAAACCCACCACCCTGGCGTTTGCCCTGAACGGGAGTCGAACTGGTGACATTTCGGTGCTTGGACGATGCTCAGCCACACGGCCGGCAGCCCTCAGTTCCTGTGCCGTGAGGTGGGAAGGTCGACGGTCACTGTCCTAGAGGCACATGGTGCTCGTAGAAACCGCTGACGCTGTGTTCCGGCGAGGGGCACGCAGCTCAGCCCTGGTTCCCTGGGGCCACGCAGCCCCTGGCACGTTCCGGGGACGAGGGTCCATCGCTTGCTCTGGGCAGTCACCCTGTCGTTAGTGCAGAGAGTCGGTACCTGACATGTCCAGCTTCCTCCGCAGTCCTCAGGGCCAGTGCGCTCTCGGAAGTAAGTACCAGATTATGAGAACTGGTCGGTCAGTGACCTGTCTACTCACATCACCGGGCTGGAGAGAGGACTGTTTGGGTTGCCCGTGCCCTGGGGCAGAGAAGCAGGCGGGAGCTGCCTGACTTGCTGGGCTGATCCTCTTCCCAGTAATTGTCTTCAATTTTTTTTTTCTTTATTGATCTTGAGAGAGAGAGGAATGGAGAGGGAGAGAGAAATAGAAACATTGATGAGAGAGAACATCGACTGGCTGCCTCCTGCATGCCCCTCACTGGGGATCGGGCCCACAACCTGGGCATGTGCCCTGACCAGGAACCGAACTGATGACCTCTGGGTGCATGGGTTGATCCTCAACCACTGAGCCACACCGGCCGAGTACATTTAAAGCTTTTGAAAGGATACAATACATCAGGGAGATTATTATAACTATAAGCAGCATAATTCCCAATGTTCAGAATGTACTTCAGAGCCATAGTCAAGACCCAAACCAATCAAAATCAAAGAAGTCAAAGGACCCAGCAAAGGAGTCACCTTTTTAAGCCAAGTGGCTTGCTCAGTAATCAGGAGTTTCAGTTTCCCCAGAAGTGTTAATCCAAGTGCAGCAGAATGTATTGGCCACAGCTCAGACATCTCCTTGCTCAGCTAAAAGATAATCAAAGTCTACCCTATTATCAAGAACAACTTTGACCAAAGAGTCTAAGGATCAATATCTTCAGTAGTTAAGGAGAGGTTCCTGATCATAGTCTCATTTACATGTATTCCTAACTAGGGAAGTAAGGCCCTGCCAAAGGAAGCCAATTCTGAATCATGAATGCCTCATGGTAGGTCATTTCTAACTCAAGATGCAAATCCAGAAGAGCTGACTTATGTGGTGCCCTAGTTCCTTTGTGAAAAGTTAGGGGCACAGTTAGAGAACCTAAGAAGCATCATGGGCCAACCATCTAGGTTTTTCGGTTTTTTTTTAATCCTCACCCGAGGACATTCTTTTCCATTTTTTGCTCAGATAGAGTGGGAGAGAGAAGGAGGAAGAGAGAGAGAGAAAAACATCGATGTGAAAGGGACACATCGAGTGGCTGCCACCGGCACGATCAACCGGGCTGGGAACAAACTGCAACCGAGGTACGCGCCCTTAGCGGGAACCGAACTCGGGTCTCTCTGGACCGCAGGCTGATGCTCTAACCATTGAGCCAAACCAGCCAGGGCCCATCTAGGTATTGATAGGCCCAAGGAGTCTAATAATCACCACAGACGATGGTAAATCCTGTTGGGGCACAAAACACTTCCACCAAGGTGGCACTGTTATTGGACTCATTTATAGGGACTGTTACATTTGCCCATTTAAGCCAGAGGTCATATTTTTAGCATATTTGCTAAGTCTCCTAGTCTGAAATAAAATGTTCTAAATTCTAGAGGTTACCCCCTTAGTAATGGCCTGGAAATACTGGTGATAGTGTTATCTTTCTAGGCCAATGCCAGAGTAAAGAGCTTCATGTTTAGCTAAAGTAGGAAGTCCTGAGCCAGCATCTCATGTGGAAGTTGTCTACATCAATGGCAGCTACTTTCTTCCTTGTCAATTTGATTTGAAGGTGCCCAGCATCTGCACAGAATCAGATGTCAGGGAAGTCTTCAGTTGTGAACATGCATACAAAGTTCAAAGCCCTGAAATTTGGCTGCCATCTGGGGAATGAGGAGGACCTGGTATAGTCTCTTCAAGGAGACTCAAGGGCAGTCTTTTTTTTTTTTTTAATTATTTTTTATTAATTTGTGTTACAGATGTTTCTCCTTTTTCCTCCATTGACACCCTCCTCCCCATCCCCCCCTGCCCTATCCCCAGCTTTGTTGTCTATGTCCATTGGTCATGCATACATGCATATAAGTTCTGTGTTTTATCCCCCCCCCCCAACACCTCTTCTGGGGTTTGTCAGTTTGTACGCTACTTCTATGTCTCTGGATCAGTTTTGTTCATCAGTTTGTTTAGTTCATTATATTCCACAAATAAGTGAGATCATGTGATATTTGTCTTTCTCTGCTTGGCTTGTTTCGCTTAGCATAATACTCTCCAGGTCCCTCCATGTCATCTCAAATGCATCTTAGAGCTGCATTGTATTCCATTGTGTATATGTACCACAGCTTTTTAATCCACTCATCTACTGATGGGCACTTGGGTTGTTTTCAGATCTTAGCTATTGTAAATAGTGCTGCTATGAACACAGGGGTACATATATTCTTTCTGATTGGTATTTCAGGCTTCTTAGGGTATATTCCTAGAGGTGGGATCACTGGGTCAAATGGAAGTTCAATTTTTAACTTTCTGAGGTAACACCATATTGTTTTCCATAGTGGCTGCACCAGTCTGCATTCCCACCAGCAGTGTACTAGAGTCTCCTTTTCGCCACACCCTCGCCAGCACTTGTTGTTTAAGGATTTGTTGATGGTGGCCATTCTGACGGGTGTGAGGTGATACCTCATAGTTGCTTTAATTTGCATCTCTCTGATGATTAGTGACGTTGAGCATTTTTTCATATGTCTCTTGGCTATTTGTATGTCCTGTTTGGAGAGGTGTCTATTTAGGTCCTCTGCCCATTTTTTAATTGGGTTGTCTTCCTTTTGTTGAGTTGTATGAGTACTTTATATATTTTGGAAATTAATCCCTTATCTGATGCATCATTGGCAATTATGGTCTCCCATATAGTGGGTTCCCTTTCCATTTTGATGATTGTTTCTTTTGCTGTGCAGAAGCTTTTAAGTTCGATGTAGTCCCATGTGTTCATTTTTTCCTTTGTTTCTCTTGCCTTAGGTGTTGTATCAGTGAAAATTCTGCTGCGTATGATGTCTGAAATTTTGTTGCCTACATTTTCTTCTAGAATTTTTACGGATTCACGAGTTACATTTAACTCTTTTATCCATTTTGAGTTTATTCTTGTGTATGGTGTAAGCTGGTGGTCTAGCTTCATTTTTTTTGCATGTAGCTGTCCAATTTTCCCAACACCATTTATTGAAGAGTGTCTTTACTCCATCGTATGCTCTTGTCACCTTTGTCAAATATTAATTGAGCATATTGTCTTGGGTCAAGCTCTGGGTTCTCTGTTCTGTTCCATTGATCTATCTGCCTGTTCTGGTGCCAGTACCAGGCTCAAGGGCAGTCTTTTTTAAATTGATTTTATAAAGAGAGGAAGGGGGTAAGGGAGAGAAGGGGTGAGGGAGAGAAAGGGAGAGGAAGAGAGGGAGAGACATTGATTTGTTGTTCCACTTATTTATGCCTTCATTAGTTTGATTCTTGTGTGTGCCCTGAGCAAGATCAAATGGCCAGGGCCTTAACTAGGAATCTAAGTTTGACCTTTGACCAAGGGGTGAAGGTATACCTGGGGAGATTTGTCTGCAACCTCGGGAGTTTTATTTTAAAAGGTAACTGCCTAATAATCTGTTCAGAGCAGAAAGCAGATCAGAAGAATTAGTAAAACGTGAGTACTCAGGTGAAAATAAATGGGGGAGCAGTAGAAGTCATGTTTATCCTATCGTATTTTGTTTTAGGCACCTGATATTTTTAATTAAAAATTTTTTTTCTTTATTGATTTTAGAGCGAGAGCAAGGGAGAGAGGGAGAGAGAGAGAAACAGCAATGAGGGAGAACATCAACTGGCCACTTCCTGCATGACCCCCACGGGAGATGGGCCCACAATCTGGGCACGTGTCCTGACCAGGAATTGAGCCAGTGACCTCTTGGTGGTGAGTCAATGCTCAACCACTGAGCCACACACACTGGCCGGGCATATTTAAAATTTTTCCTTAGCCTTTTGTAATGAGTTTTTTCATAAAGCTGTTTTGCAATCCTGAGGCCTTTTGCACACCAATTAAAGTAGGCATCTCTGTTCAACTCGGGGTCCCTTGCTCAAGTGTACTTCTTCAATGAGCCATTTTGTTTCATTGGAATCTTCCCATAATGACCATCATAATTCTAGGTTTTTAGTAAAATTTTAATATATATTTTCAGATATATACACTTCTGGCACTATGTTTTAAAGATAAAACAAGCAGGTGGTGCTGGAAGGTGGCGTGCTCAACTCTTTGGATATAAAAATATCTCATTTCTTGCCGTGGCCAGTTGCTCAGTAGTTAGAGCATCGGCCCACGGACCAGAGTCATAGGTTCCTTTCTGGTCAAGGGCACATACCTCAGTTGTACTTCCGATCCCTGGCCCTGGTCAGGGTTGTGTGGGAGGCAACCAATCAATGTGTCTCATTTCTTTAGCTAGGCCTTTGGGTTTCCTGGAGCCAAACTAATAATAAGAAGGCCTATTACCATGGGAGTCTTCTTGAGGTGAAGAGGGCTCTAACAACCTTCACACGCTTGACCTGTGTTCACCAAGGGTCTGCAGCTTTTTTTTATTCCCAAGATTCCCATTAGCAACTAACCATTTAAACGAAAATTTTATTCCCCTGAGGCCTCCTACTGGACCACATATGATCCTGAAACCAGTCCAATTACAAGTTGGACCCAATCCAACTACAGCTGGTAACCACCAACAATTCTCAAATAGAAGATTCTGTACTAGCCTTTATCTACACTAAACAAAACGAACAAATGTGCACATTAACAAATCAGCAGTAAACAAAGAAATGTTACTATGGACTGGCCAATAGAAGGCTGTGCACACTACCAGCAGTTAGTGTGCACTAAACCCGCAGACTCCAATGAATGGGGACTGCAGACTGGAACTGGGCAAAGGACTAAACCAGCAAACCCTGGTGAATGGGGACTACAGACAGGAACTGTGGGAAAGAACTAAACCAGCAACCCCCAGTGAATGGGGACTGCAGATTCGAACTGGAGGAAGGGATTCCAAATAACTGGGGAATTGTGGACTGAACCAAAGGCTGTAAGGATTTGTATTCTGAGTGAAACCATCTGCCAGTTTAAGTTGACCTGCTCATCTGTGGCTTGGATAGCCAATTAGATCAGGAGTTCAGAACACCAATGGCCCTCCAAAACAGCAAGAAGGAGAACTCAAAAAAGTTGTAATGTTTGCAAAGTTCTAGGGTACCACACCTGTTTCTCATTGTCCCCAAATGTCATTAGAACTTCCCTTCAAATCCCATCATTGTTGTCACCAAATCTGTTAAAGAACAAAAATTCAACCAAGCAAATTTAAGGATCTAACTGGATTGAAAGATTTATGAATTGGGCAGCAGAAAGGTGCTCCAAGAAGTGTACAAACTGGAAAGTTATTTTTTTATATCCTCACCGGGGTATACTTTTCTATTTATCTTCAGATAGAGTGGGAGGGAGGGAGAGGGAGAGAGAGAAAAGCATTCATGTGAGAGACACATTGATTGTCTGCCTCCCAAAGGACCCTGACCAGGGCTGGAGACTGAACCAAAACCAAGGTATGTGCCCTTGACCGAAATCGAACTCACGACCCTTTGGTCCATGGGCCAACGCTCCAATGCCTGAGCCAAACCGGCCACGGGAAACTGCACGCCCCCAGAAACTGCCTCCTGCATGCCCCCCACTGGGGATCGAGCCCACAATCCAGGCACGTGCCCTATCTGGGAATTGAGGTGGGACCTGTCAGTCCATGGGATGATGCTCAATCCACTGAACCACACCAGCAGGGCTAAATACAGAACTTTGGATGTTCTTATCAAAAAAGAGATCATCGCCCTGGCCGGTTTGGCTCAGCGGTTAAAGCGTCGGCCTGCGGTCCTGAGAGACCCGGGTTCGGTTCCCGCTAAGGGCATGTACCTGGGTTGCAGTTTGTCCCCGGCTCTGGTCAGTCGTGCGGGTGGCAGCCACTCGATGTGGTCCTTTCACATCGATGTTTCTCTCTCTCTCTCTGGTCCTCTCTCTCCCTCCCACTCTACCTTAAAAAAAAAAAAAAAAAAAGAGATCATTGTGTTGCCAGGTGAAGTTGTTTCCAAGAGGCGGCTATGTGAAAGTAGAATTGTTAGTATGTGTTTAAAAGACAGACAAGCAGCTAACTTCCTTCACTGACATTACAGGCACTACAGTGAAGATTCCAAACATCTCCTGCTGAGTTCTTTAGAGACCCTTTAAGAACACATTTACTCTCCAGTTCTTGCTCTGGAAGTACAACCTATTTCCAAGAAAGTCCTCCTTTGTTTCTTCAATAAAGTACCTTTATGATTTTTCATTTAAAAAAAGCAACGAACAAAACCACTATTAAAAAGAAAACCACAGGCCCCAAATGGCATCACTTGTGCTAAAATCCCATGATACCAAGCCTAGATTAAAATACCTGATCTACTTGCAGTTTCAAACTCTCCTAGAAACATAACCTTAATCAACCTGTCTGGAATTTCTGGTAAGTATCAATGAGGTAATCTCCATAGAATGAAGAGGCAACCTGCATGATAAAAACCCTTCTCCAAAACAGATGTCCAGACCCATTTTCTTTTGTTAATCCATTTCTTGCCCCACCTTTCTACCTATAAAAGCCTTCCATTTCAATTTTGTTTCTTTATTGATTTTAGAGAGAGAAGGAGGGAGAGGGAGACAGAGATAGAAACATCGATGAGTGAGAACATCCATTGGCCACCTCCTGCCTGCATACTCCCCACTGGGGATTTGGCCCACAACCTGGGCTTGCCCCATCCAGGAACTGACCTGGCAACCTCTTGGTGCATGGGTTGACACTCAACCACTGAGCCACACTGGCCAGGCAAGTCTTTCATTTTGTACAAACTCATCCAAGTGTCCTTCTAGTGGCTAGATGGGCTACTGCCTGATTCATGAATTGTTTAATAAAGCTAATTAGATCTTGCCCTGGCCGGTTTGGCTCAGCGGTTAGAGCGCCGGCCTGTGGACTGGAGAGTCCCGGGTTCGGTTCCCGCTAAGGGCACGTACCTTGGTTGCAGTTTGTCCCCAGCCCTGGTTGGGTTGTGTGGGTGGCAGCCACTCAATGTGTCGCTTTCACGTCGATGTTTTTCTCTCTCTCTCTCTCTCTCCCCCTCCCACTCTATCTAAACAGAATATTGAAGGATGTCCTCGGTTGAGGATAAAAAAAAAGTCTTTCATTTTGTACAAGCCCATCTGAGTGCCCTTCTAGTGGCTAGATGGGCTGCTGCCTGATTCATGAATTGTTTAATAAAGCTAATTAGATCTTGCCCTGGCTGGTTTGGCTCAGCGGTTAGAGCGCCGGCCTGTGGACTGGAGAATCCCGGGTTCGGTTCCCGCTAAGGGCATGTACCTCGGTTGCATTTTGTCCCTGGCCTTGGTTGGGGTCATGTGGGTGGCAGCCACTCGATGTGTCTCTCACGTTGATGTCTGTCTTTCTCTCTTCCTCCCTCTCTCCCTCCCTATCTCCCTCCTGCTCTATCTGAAGATAAATGCAAAAATGTCCTCGGGTGAGGATTTAAAAAAAAAAAAAGCTAATTAGATCTTTATATTTACTTGATCGTATTTTGTTTTTTAACACCACTAGTTAGATAGCCTATATAAATGTAACTTTGTAGAACCATTCCACATAGCCTTTTTCTCAACTGAATCACATGTACAGTCATGTACTGCATAGCAATATTTCTGTCAATGACTGACCACATATATGAAGGTAGTTCCATAAGATTATAATGGAACTGAAACATTCCTATCACCCAGTGACCTGGCCATAGTGCAACATGTTAGTCATGTGTTTGTGGCCATGCTGGTGTAAACAAACCTACTATGTTGCCAAATCCTATAAAAGTATAGCACATACAATTATGCACAAAACATAATACTTGATAATGACTATGTTACTAGCTTATGTATTTAATATACTACACTTTTTAATTATTATTTTAGAGTGTACTCTTAGCAATACACTATACCATACAGCCTAGGTGTGTAAGTACATTCTATGATATTCATACAATGATGAAATTGCCTAATGACACGTTTCTCAGAACATAGCCCCATCATTAAGCAGCTATAGTTAAATTGCTATAGGTAAAATCGAATGTGTTCTGAGTCTCATCAAGTGTGAATTTGTTGATAGGCTTTTCTAAGAGTCAGGCATCGCCCAAAGGCTGATTACAAGGAAGAGCAGCTGGTTGGTAGTTAAAAACACAAGGCTTCGCCAATAAAGGGGCCAGTAAAGATGGCACTGTTCTGGGACTATGGGCGGAAATAAAATCCCTATTTAACGAGAAATGAATTCAGGAGGTTGCTTAGGTCAGATAAATTGGGCACTAGTGTGGAAAACAAGAAAGGCCTTATTGTTTATAGCTGTTGTAATGTTTGCATAGTTTATTAGCTTTATGAAATTAAATAATTTGTGCCTGGTACAGCTTTTGAGTAAATAAAATATTAATCTCGATTTGAACGCGGCTGAAGTGAGACTCATGGGAGGAGGGGGGCCTTGACAAGCTGTCTAGTTTGGCAGCCCTAAAGCTGAACCCATTTTCAGCAACCTTGCACCCCGAACATAAACGTTATTAACTCACAAATACACGCAGCTGAAACCAATGTCATCACTCGCTGATGTGAGTGCCAATTAGAAAGCTCGTACCACATTTTAATCATCAAAACATATTTTAACATATATCCTTTTTAACATATATCCATTCCTGGAAAAAATTAACTGGAGCATGGATAGTTTGCAAACAAGTGTTTTGTTGTTTTTTTACAAATGAAAGGAGACAGGTAAATTTTTTTTTTTTTTTTAACAGCCAGAGAAACATTAACTTTTGTTTCCCTCAAAAGCCCTTTAAAAAGATTTCACTCCACGGGTGGGTCGAGGGGCGGGGAAGCGCACTAACCTCACTGCCCGCAAAGGTTTCCTAAACCGTTACCTACAGATCACTGTTTTCATTTGGGACGAGGCTCAAGACTGCAGGTGACCGCGGTGCCCCAGGGCGCCAGGGGGGACTTTTTGACCAGGAGAGGCGACAAACGTCGGGGCAGAGCGGCCGGGTCGCGGGCCCAGCTCGGTCCCGAGCGGCCCGCGGTGGGCGGCCGAGACCACCTGCCTCGCCTCGGGCCGACTCCCGGGCGGAGCGACACCGGCGCCACGTGCGTAGCCGCCCCGCCCTCTGCCACCGGCGTCCGAGCGCCGCGCGAGTTCGCCCGAGTCACAGAGGCCGGCGCGCGCCCCGCCCAGGCGCCCGCAGCTCGGGCCGCCGCCGCCGCGAGCCCGGAATCGCCCAGTTCGCCCTCCTCCCCCTCGGCGGGCCGCTGGGGCGGGACCGGCGCTCGGGGCGGGCTCGCCAGTCAGCCCGCGGGCGGCGGCCAGGCCGGGGCCGCGGCCGGCGAGCGGCCACGTCACGCTCCTCCCGGAGGCCCCGCCCCGCCCCCGCGGCCCGCCCCCGCACGCCCCGCGAGCAGTTACCGGCTCGGGGCGCGCGCCGCCCACTCCGCTGGAGGCCCCGCGGCGGCTCTTGCGCCCTCGCTGCCCGCGCCCGGGGACGGCTGCGGCTGCGGCGCCCGCGCGGCCGGCGGGCTCGGGCCGTGCGTCGCTGAGGCGGGCCGAGCCGACGGGCGGTTAGCGCTCCGTTCGACGCGGGGAGGGGCGGCACGCCGGGCGCTGCACGGCCTCGGCCGACGCGGGCGGCGGTGGCGGCGGCGACGGCGGCCGGGCTCTCGGGCTCTGTGCCCCAGGCCGGAGCCGGTGGTTGCCCCGGCGCAGAGACGGGCAGCCGGACTCCCTGGCCCCGGGCTCCCTGGCCCCGGGCCCCCCGCGGCTGGGGCGGCTGGGGCAAGGGGACGATGTCTGCCCGCGCCCCGGCGCCCGGCGCCCACTCCCGGGAGGAGCCGCCCGCGGCAGCTGCCGAGAAGGCGTCGCCGTCGCCCGAGGTGAGCCGGCAGGCCGAGCCGCTGCCCGCGCCCGCACAGGAGGGCACGCAGGCGGCCGGCGAGGAGAGGGCCGCGCCCGCCACCTGCGCGGGGGCGCGGGGAGAGCCGTCGCCGGCGCTGGTGCTGGGACACAGCGTGCCCCAGGCGGCCGTGCCCGTGAGGCCTCTGGCGCTGCACCTGGCGCACCGGGCGCGCGGGCCGGGGGGCCCCTTCGGCGGGGAGCCGCCCCCCCCGCCGCCGCCGCCGCGGGACCCGCCGCCCGAGGACGCCCGGCAGGAGGAGGTGGCGGCGGCCGGCCCAGAAGGAAAGGCGCAGTCGTCCCTGCCGCCGAAGGAGAACCCTTGGACCAAGAAGCCGCCTCCGCACCTGTCACCGGCCGGGTCGGAGCCGCCGTCCCCTCTGGATTCCCTGGAAGCAGGTCGGTGGCTCCGCTGGGTGGGCACCGGGGTGTGTGCGTGGGGGCGGCTCGCGTGGGGACGCGGGCTGGCGGGGGAGGGGCAGGCCTCCTTTCCCTGTCAGTCAGGGCACTTCTGTTCCAAGGTGTCATTCACTCTGCCCATTTACATAAATGGACATCTGGACGCGGCGGCGGGGAGAGGTGGGACCTCGGCTGCTCCTTGGCGGGGGCGCGGCGGCCCGGCGGCCTCGCTCGGTCGCCCCCACGTGCGTGGGGACTTGGGGAGGCTGCGGGTGGGGAGCTGCTGCCGTCCACCCTACAGAAAAGTTTCCGCGGACGTTTTAGAACAAGGGGATTGGTGTGTGTGTGGAAGCACCCGTTGTGTTTTCTTTTTTGTTGCGAAATAATTGGTAAAGCTGGAAGTTTCAGGGTTTTCAGAACGCGAGGTAGTCGGGTTAAAAGCGAGGCTGTGGACTCGCTGCCACGCTGCTTTGAGTGGCGAGTGTGGTGGGAATAACTGGAGCAGGGTCGTTGACACGAGAGCGGAGGCAAGGTGGGGAATGGTAGTCTTCTAACTTTCAGATCTCCTTTTGGAAGAGATTAGATTATGTCACTGCCTTTGAATGCTGACCAGTGGCCTCTGGGTACTTTATTTTAGTTGTAGCAATTGCATTTTTTAAAAAAAGTTTAAATGGAAAGAGTAAAAACAACCAAGATAAAAAGCAGTATGTCCTAGTTTTGCTTTCTAAATTAAGTTATATGAAATCAATTGAACTTTAACATAGAAATGACAGCTGTTTACTAGCAGATCTTCAGTTTTTCTTAAAATTAAAGATTAACAGTGGGATAGGGAAAATATGAGCGCGTTTATAGATGTGTGAAGATCAGTTGAGATGAAGGGTGTGGTGTAAATGTAAGGTGATTTTTGAAGACATGCACTATATTATTGCAGATATATAACGTTTCTTCAGAGGAACTTTTGGAGTGAGATAAGTGTTAATTGATTTATTTAGCTTTTGCACAGTAATACTTATCATTATTGATACATTTTTACACTGGTACAAAAAAAGCTACTTAAAATGTTTTTCTAAATTTAGTATTGCCATCATTCTCTTCTAGCTGCAAATATCTGTTTGTCAACTACTATTACTAACTGAAGAAAATAAAAATCTTAAAGCAAAATCTCCATAAAATTTTGCTATTTCATTAGGAAGTAAGCCCTAATGAATCTGAATGGCTGTCTAACCTCTGTTTCTAGACTTACACAGTTATACATTGTATTCAGTGAACTACCAGAAAAAAGTCTTTGTTGACTATAAAATCACTGTGATGGGTTTTTAAATCATTAAGGTAAGACTCAGGAGTTTTAATTGAAAATGACCTTGTGAAAAATAGTTTAAAAGATTAACCTACAGGTGCTTTCATTGGGTATCTTAATCTTTGTTGGAGATTAAGAACAAGCTGATGCTTGATGTATGGTGTGGTTCACAGGAATTTTAATTTTGCTGATGTCTCTCTGTAGGTAACTCTCTGTTCTTGGAATCCATAGAAATACTATCCTTCAGATTTGGAGTAACATTGTAACTTGGTCTCTCCAATCCTGTCTCTACACTGTTTTACTACAACTTTTATTTGTAGTTGATACTTAAGTAATTTAAATAAGAGACTGGTGTAGAAATGCACTGTCTGAAAGACTTAGGGATAGTGTTACTAACGAGTAGACTTTTGGCAAGATTTCTGGGCGTTATAAGCAAGTGAATGTATTCATCTCTTCCAGTTCCTAAGACCAGAGTGCCATCTATATAACTGGGTGTGTTGCCCTCCTATTTTCCTAAGCAAATTTGCACTACAAGAAGAGTGAAATAGGATCAGAAAAACTTTAGTGTCCAGGGTAGGTGAAAACTAGGGAGTGTTACATTAGTACCATAATTTATTAGTAGGCCTGTATAATTTATCCTACAGACCAGAATATCATTGAAAGGGAAAGAGAAGTATATTAATTATGCTGGGATAACAGACTTAATCCATGTTTATCCTGGCCAAACCTGCATTTACCGTCACTCTCCTAATGAAGTACAAGGATTCCATCCACAAGGGTTGCCAGAAAGTTGAGTACCCGAGATAGAAACATTATAGGAAATATAGGGGAGTATTTCAGGATTGTTAATCATGAATTTTCTCTGTTACAAACTGCAGGTGAGGCATCATTCCTCCTTCAGTCCTGGTGAAACACTTTCTTCTACTTTTGGGATGGTTCTGGCCTGTGTATTGCTGTTTCTGGTAATCCAGATAAGTCCCTCTTTTCAACCAAAGTCTAGCCCACCCAAGTGATCTAAAATAGTGTCACTGCAATTTTGAATTCAGTCAGGAAACCAAAAAGAATTTTTCCTCAATCTGCCCTAACCTTGTTAAAAGTAGTTTTACTTATTTTGGAGATCTTTATTAAAATCACAGTATGGGGTTTATTGATCACTGACCTGTAGCCATGGTTACATTTTATATGTTAAAAATCAGCTTTCTTTTTGTTGTTGTTAATCCTCACCTGAGGGTATTTTCCCATTGATTTTTAGATAGAGAAGGGGGGGAGGGAGGGAGGGAGAGAAACCTGATGTGAGAGAGACATGAATTGGTTGCCTCCCACATAACCATGCCCAGGGCCAGGGATCAAACCTTCAACCTAGGTACATGCCTTTGGCTGGGAATTGAACCCTGGACCTTTTGGTCCTCTGGCTGATGCTCTAACCACTGAACCAAACCTGCCAGGGCAAAAATCAGCTTTCTAATATCATTTTAATTGTTTTACTCACAAAAACATGGTATACAAAAATACTGATTTTTTTCCATCTAGTTTTCTCTGACCCTATCAACCCTCTTTCTTCCTACATCTGCTCCCCAGCTGTTATTACCCTAGGAACATTTTAAGTAAGTTATATAAATGATACATAAGTACATTCTCCTTGTATATAAAGGACTTTTTTTTAAAAAAAAAATGTTTTTATTGATTTTTTTAGAGAGAGAAAAACATTCATGTGAAAGAGATACATTGATTAACTGCCTCCTGCACGCTCCTCACTGGGAATTGAGCCCATAACCCCGGCATGTGCCCTGACTGGGAATCAAACCGGAACCTCTCAGTCCATGGGAAGATGCTCAATCCACTGCCCAGCTAAATACTGAACTTTTTTTTCCTGCTTTTTTGGGGGGTGGGGGAGGCAGTGAGCTTTCAGCCAACACAGTCCTGCCATCCCTACCCCCCACCCTCCAAAGTGGGGCCCTGGAGCCTTAAATACTGAACTTTTGATGTCCTTATCAAAAAAGAGATAATTGTGTTGCCAGTTTATAGAATATCCTTTTAGACCTGTGCCATTATTTCCAAATATAGTGTTTTGTATCTATATTTAGAACATAATTTCATTCTCCTTTTTTCATTTAGAGTGTTGATTGATCCTTTTTTCTTGTTACCATTAGTGAGGTTTTTAAAATTATTTTTATTGAGGTATAATTGACATACAACATACTAGTTTTAGATGTACAACATAATGATTCAGTTTTCAAATGTATTGCAAAATGATCACCACAGTAAGCCTAGTTACCTGTCCCTATACATACATAATTATACTTTTTTTTTCTTGTCATGATATTGGTCCTTTTTAACCTAAACCCCTTTAAAAACTGCTGAGAAGTGGCCCATAAATGTAACTGACATAGTTAATTTAGCCATTAATTGGTCGATACGCATCACAGCATCTTGGTGGTTTCAAATAAGATTTTTATATATACCTCTTTTATGTCTGACTTTTTCTAGGATAAGTGGAGTTCTTAGGTCACAGGGTGTCAGTCAGTTGGCAAGTTACTCTCTCAAGTGACTGTACACAAGTTCTGGTCTCCTTATGGAGGTGTTTAAAAAAAAAGGAAAAAAGTTGCCCTGGCCGGTTTGGCTCAGCGGTTAGAGCGTCGGCCTGCGGTCCGGAGAGACCCGGGTTCGGTTCCCGCTAAGGGCACGTACCTCGGTTGCAGTTTGTCCCCGGCCCTGGTTGGTTGTGCGGGTGGCGACCACTCGATGTGTCCCTTTCACATCGAGGTTTCTCTCTCTCTCTCTCTTCCTCTCTCTTCCTCCCACTCTACCAGAACAAAAAATGGAAAAATGTCCTCGGGTGAGGATGATAAAAAAATAAATAAATAAATAAATAAATAAATAAATAAATAAAAAATAAAAAAAAAGGAAAAAAGAAAAAGAAATAAAGTGACTGTACAGATAGATACTCCCATTTTAGAGTATGAGAATTAAGATTTTTTTAAAAAGTTTTTTTAAAGCACTTATTATAGCAGAATAACATTTTGCTAGATTTCTGTCTTAAATATGTATAATAAAATCATGTGAAATGTTGCTAATTGCCAATGCATTTAATTTTTTTTTTTTTACTTTAGAGAGGAAGGGAAAGAGGGAGAGAGAGAACATCAGTGTGAAGGAGAAACATCAATTGATTGCCTCCCACACACATCCCAACTGGGGATCCAATCAGAAACCTGGGTATGTGCCCTGAACTGGAATCGAACCTTTTGGTGTACAGGACACTGCTCCAACCATCTGAGCCACAATGGCCAGGGCTGCCAATGCATTTTTTAAAATAAAGCTTTGCTGGTCATGAAAATGAAAGTGAGTAAAATTGTCAGTTATGTTACAGTTTTTGTTTTCTGTATCCAAGCTCCTAAAATGAAATTTCTTTCCTTATCAATTTAGAATTATTTCCTTATAGATTTTCAAGGTTAAAGAATAATACTTGAAAGATATTGGAGCCCGGCTGCTGTGGCTCAGTGAATTGAGAGGTCTCAGTTTATTCCCAGTCAGGGCACATGCCTAGGTTGTGGGCTTGATCCCTATTGAGGGACGTGCAGAAGGCAGCCAATTGATGTTTCTCTCTCACATCAATATTTAAAAAAAAAAAATCAATAAAAACATATTTTAAAAAATGGTGTATATATTTTAAGTGACACTATCCTTGAAAGATTATATTACCATA